TTAATCTGAATCGATTACAAGCTTAAAACAACTAGGGGACAGAACTCGTTAGTCCTTCAATTTGGCGCTAAATGAGTTATAAAAAACATTAAAAATACAACGTATAGAAAAACTACGTTATTAAAGACCAGTAGATTAAGAAAAATACCCACTTACTCTCGTTACAAAATATAACCAAATGGTGAAAAACTTTATTAAAATTATAAGAAAACATTGGAACAATCTGCAATAATACAAACAATGCAGTGATTTTTTCCCCCAAGTGCCTATTATAGCATATATACGTAACAAAAATATAAAAGATTACCTTGCGAAATCAGGGTAACAGTTGAAAGACTTTTGAAAAGGGACCATGCTTAAACAGTTTTAAGCAAAAAATCCTGATATACTGTTAGTAATAAACTGAATTATAGGCAACAAACTTATGAATATAAAAAGTTGTTAAGTCTTGAAATTTATTACGAATGTTGGTTGTAGGAACCGCATTTCATTATAATGACAAGAGTTCGGGAGACCAAGATATTAATCTGTTGAATTATTCATCTCATGAATATTCAATAGTAATTTACATATTAATCTCAGTGTGTATTTTTGAAATCTCATTGTGTAATTAACAATTCTCAGTGTGTGTTTTTCAATTTATTTCATCTCAGTGTGTCTTTTTAAAATCTCAGTGTGTCTTTTCAAAATCTCAGTGTGTAATTTCAATTCTCAGTGTGTGTTTTTCATTTTTTTAAATCTCAGTGTGTAATTTTAAAATCTCAGTGTGTAATTTCGATTTCTCAGTGTGTTATTTTAGGTTTTTAAATCTCAGTGTGATTTTTTTAATTCTCAGTGTGTAATTTTTTCGAAAAAATGGTTTAAACATAGTTTTGACGAGAACGGCTTGCCACAAGAAACACCCATACCGCATAACAAGAGGGCCCGAAATGACAAATGTCAAACAATTCAAACGAGAAAAATAACGGCCTTTTTTTTATGTACAAAACAAAATAAGAAAAACAAATATGGTATAAAACAACAAAAGACAAACACTGATATACAGGCTCCTTGATTTTGCTCTAGCACATGACAGAATGGCGGGGTTAAACGTGAAAAAGAAAAAAAGTAGTGTAACAGCACAACATAAGAAAATTTTGTCAGTAAAAACTTTTTTGATTACGGATATGCAATTCAAAGAACTGACTATTATTTCAAAATCAAATTTCGTATAAACATTTTTAATTTTAAAGCTATGTGATTTTGTTAAATTGTATAATGTTTTATCAGACAGAAATAGATCAAGTGTCAGCAATATGACAGTCTGATTAAATTCAAACCTCTCAGCGCTCCCGTATTCTAATATGTCGCATGGGAGCTCCCACGCGCGACATATAAATAAACGATAGCAAGTGGGAGGTTTGATTTTAATCAGACTGGCAATATGATAACTTGGGACAATTTGATTGGTCAAAATCATGCACAATACCAGGCAAACCTGACATACAACCTCAACAAAATCTCTTAGATATGATGAATGACACAAACTTACATCAAATTGTCAATACACCAACAAGAAATGACCGTATACTAGATCTGATAATGATTAACAACCCAACCTACATCAGCAAAGTAACCACACTACCACCAATAGGTTCAAGCGACCATGACATTGGCTATGCCGAAGCAGACATCTGGCTTAAGAGAATAAGAGAAACCTCACAAAAAGTATACAAGTACAACAAAGCCAACTGCGAGGAAATTAAACTTGGCATAGGTATCATCCATAAAACAATCATTGATACCTATGATTCTCTAGACACCAATGAGCTAAGGGAACTATTTAAAACTAAACTCATCAGCTCTGTCGAACAAAATATTCCATCAAAGATCCTACGAAACAAACACCGACTACCGTGGATATCTGACAAATTAAGGCGTCAAATAAACAATATAAATAAACTGTACAAAAGGCGAAAAAACAGCATATACACTGAGAAATATAAAAAAGATGAAAGCTCAGGTACAAAAAGAACAAAGGAAAGCCTACTGGGAATACATCGAAAAACTAATCTGTGATCTTCCCATCAATGAACCAGATATTCAAACACAAAATCAGAACAAACCTAAAAAAACTTTTTCAATACACCAAGTCAATAAGAACTGACAAATCTGGCATCTCTGCACTAAAGAAAGACGGCAACATCATTACAGACGCGACAGAGAAAGCAAGTCTTTTAAACGAACAATTCCAATCTGTATTAATATTTACCCCAGTAACAAATGACCCAATACCAAACAAAGGCAACAGTTCACATCCTAAAATCAGTAAATTACACATAACATCAAACGGGATCGAAAAGCTCTTAAATAAGATCACTGACCCTCATAAAGCCACCGGCCCAGATAACATCAGTGGCCGCTTACTCAAAGAAATGCAGACGCAAATCGCACTAATTTTGTGCCAAATTTTCAAAAAATCTTACATCACTGGTATTACCCCTAACGACTGGAAACATGCTAGAGTCGCACCAGCATATAAAAAGGGGATAAACATAAACCGGTCAATTTTAGACCTATCTCATTAACTTGTATTTGCTGCAAAATAATGGAGCACATAGTAACATCACATATTAAGAAACATCTTGAATCAAATAACATCTTGTACGACCTCCAACATGGCTTTCGGCACTCTCGATCTTGCGAAACACAACTTCTCTCCTTCATCCAAGAACTTCAATCCACAAACAATTCAAATACACAAACAGATCTTATAATAATGGACTTTGCAAAAGCCTAAACACATTAAACTGGATCTCTGCATTTCTCTCCGACCGTACTCAGACAGTTTTTCTGGATGGAAGATCATCAAGTACAGTCCCAGTCACCTCTGGGGTTCCACAAGGTACTGTCTTAGGTCCAGTCTTATTCTTGGCCTATATTAACGACCTTCCAGACTACCTTACTCATAGCAAACTAAGAATATTCGCTGATGACAGTATCCTATACATGCCAATTAAATCCCAGAGTGACTGCCTAAAACTACAAGCTGATCTTGATGCAGCTGCGAAATGGGAAGTGGACTGGCTGATATCCTTCCACCCAGACAAGTGTACTGTTCTCTCAGTCACAACTAAACGTCAACCTTCACAACATAATTACACTCTTCACAATCATAATTGAGAAACTGTTACATCTGCTAAGTACTGAGGCACCACACTACAATCAAACCTAAAATGGGACAAACATATAGATGACAATATCTCGAAAGCCAACAAAACACTCGGCTCCCTTCGAAGAAACCTGACAACATCTAATCAAAACATTAAGAGCCAGGCATACCAAGCACTTGTCCGTCCCAAACTCGAGTACTCTTGCTCGGTTTGGGACCCCCACACCTCAGAATCTATTTCGAAGATAGAGATGGTCCAAAGGAGAGCTGCTCGGTATGCCTGCAACAGGTATCATAACACTAGCAGTGTATCAAACATGCTCAATACACTCAACTGGCCACAATTAACACAACGCAGATTACGTGCACGCCTGGTTATGATGTACAAGATCACATATCATCTTGTTGCTATACCATCTAGCACAATTCTCATCCCATCAGACTCAAGAACAAGAAAACATCATTATCACACCTTCAGACATATTTATACATCCAAAGACTCGTACAGATTTTCATTTTTCCCATACACAATAACGCAATGGAATCTATTACCAACTACAGTTGTTAATTCACAGACAGTCGACTCTTTCAGAGAGCAGCTTACATATGCTGTTCTCTCCACTCTCATTTAAATATATTCATTTACTGTACATATTTTTAATCACTACGTCTGTTCTCTGCACAGTTTTTGTATATAACTAAAATATTAACTTGTTTAAATAAATAGGCTACGTATGCACCAGTTATTAATCATCTTTATTCAGATGGAAAACTGGAAAACTTAAAGAAGAAGAAGAATTAGGATGGAAAAGGTCACAAGCAAGACGAAAAGAAGCTCGACTCATCATGTGTTAAAAACTAACAAATGACCTTGTAGCCTCTTAGACAAGAGTAAATACCTACAAAAACCAACTAGAAACTCCAGTTGGATAGGACATCATACTTACCTAATACAGCCAGCCATCAAAGATTGAAGGAAATGATCCTTCGTAAACACCGTCAAGCCGTGCACATTTTCATGTACTTTTTTGAAAAGTAAATATTAAAATTCACTTTTTACAATTATATTGCCGAAAAAGTACACGAAAATGTGCATTGTCAATAAAAGAATCAAGTATTACTCATATAGTTAGATAAGATATCAGTAACAATATTTGAGATCCATTAATTGATTGATTGATTGATGTTAAAATTCACTCTTTACAAAGAACCGGGAAAATATCAAATTCACTACATTGCCGGCGCCATTTAGATATTTTAATCAGAACCGGCAAGATAGCATATTTTTTATTTTGCCGGCGACGGCAAAAAATATACTACTATTAACTTTTCTGACACTTAGACTACTATATAAGTGTTATAGCAGTTTCACGATCGGACAGTACTGATTTGTTGCAGCAAATTCAACTCTCCACCCGAGTCTTTTTTGATTGCACTGATGTTGAACATATAATACAAGTAATGCCATAACAAAATAAACAAAGACATATAACAAGTAGCAAATAATGTTTTTGTATTGATACATGAAATGGTGATCTGTATGATTCTAAATCTATAAATATTATAGTTCGTTCATTTCGGATGGAAAAAATATTTGTACGTTACTATGCGTTGTTATATATAATATTTTTTTGTGTCCTAGTTTTCATTATGATGTTCGAATGTTGTATCGAATTTAAAAATTTGATGTCTTCAAAATATTCATTTGTGCTAATGTTATGAAAAAAAAGATAGCTCTATTATCTTGAGCAGATATATATTAAAATTATCACTTCAACGAAATTGTAAGAATGAAAGAAATTATAAATGACTTCTTGGTTGAACTCCCAAATCAGAATTCGAACAAACCTCTGTAACTATTCCTAACAATATGGCCGATGAGGTGCGAGAAGGCAGTCCACTGCCAGATAAAACTGTGCTTACAGAAGTAGTTCAGGTATAAATGCTTTAAAAGATTACTATAAAAATCAGTTTGCATGTTACAGTATCACTGAATAGATATAAACTGGCAGCCACTGGGCCAGATGAGTGTCTAAAGATACACATTTTATTTACTATTGTAAACATTTCAACAATACACCTTAGGCTTATTGCTATTTGTCCGCCATTACTGGACATCACAAAGGTTCCCATAAAATTTTGATGTCATAATACAAAATATCAAACACCACAATGGAAAAGTGATTGTTGTATGACGTCAACGGTTCAAGCGGGACAGATTCTCAGGTCAGCCAGGACAGAATTCCAAATAGCGATAAGGTGTATACGTTGGCATCTAACCAAGGAACCGTTACTCCAATGGGATCTCCTGTACTTAGCGATTCCCAATACTGGAGTATTTATCCTACGCATGCACAGCAGTAATAGTAATCATAAAAAAACTGATGGATAACTTGATACCTAAAAAAGAAGAAGAGTTAAGGTTTGGCAGCTAGATGACATCATGCTGTTTGTTAACAGAGATGCAGATATTTTTTTTCCTGTCAGACATGGGTCCTGCATGCAAGACAGCTTTGCCAGTCCTATCAACTGTTTGCCAGACCTACTTATTTTGAAAAATAATAATTAGTTCCCAGTTCGATTAAGATACATCTTAAAATCTTGACTAGAATGACCAGGTAATGACTGAGACCACATTTAATTTGACTATCCAGTAACTTTATGGATAGTTGTTTTATTAATAGGCATAAGAACAATTAGATCAAAAACATAGACAGTGGAAAGCTACATTTCCGTCAAAACTAAAATGTGTGTTCACTCATCAACTAAAATGAAAACAAGATTGTGTCCATAATACTTGGATGCCCCACTCGCACTATCATTTTCTATGTTCAGTGGACCTTGAAATTGGGGTTAAAACTCTAATTTGGCATTAAAATTAGAAAGATCATATCATAGGGAACATGTGTTTTAAGTTTCAAGTTGATTGTTCTTCAACTTCATCAAAAACTACCATGACCAAAAACTTTAACCTGAAGTGGGACAGACGGACGAACGGACGCACAGACCAAAAAACATAATGCCCCTTGGTGGGGCATAAAAATACTCTTAGAAAATTAAAATTATAATAATAGTTTTTGTTTATTTTTTTTTATATAAATCTGGTCATTAGTTGCCCCTTAATAGAACTTTGGGTTTTCAATGGTTTTCAACTACAAAATTGATTTGGCCATCAATTGTTCCAACTGTTTTAATTCATGCACCACTGATTCGTCACACGGAGACGAAAGCTGTGTTTCTTGTACTATCAATGTTCTCGTTAAGGCATGTATTCGCGCCATGGACTCATGGTTTTCTGTCTGGACGCACCATTGCATGAACCGTGCATTTGAGGGATGCATTCTGATAACACTTGCTGAGTCTTGAAATCATCAGAGTTTTCCCTGATCTATCAAAAAGAAGCTGAAACATGCTTCTATTCAATATTGTTACCAGAAATTTACTTTCGTTTTCATTCATTGCTGTGTAAAGATAAATCCCGAGAAATACGAAAATAATTATGATCACAAGACTTGTGTTAGTTGGGTAAATGCAGAAAAGAAACTGTTTACATTTGTACCTTATTACCCGCAATAAATGTGTCATTAGAACTTTTGGTTTTCAATGCTTTTCGTTTTTTTTATTATTGACTTGGAAGCCAAGTAACCAGTACCGACAGAAATTTCAATTTTGAAGGCCCCAAACAGTAAAAATATTTGCCGGTCATAGGGTCTGACACAAAGACGTCATTTGCCGGACCCTCTATATTTCTGCCCCCTAGGTCCGACAGGTCCGACGATTAGCTGCATCACTGTCTTAACCATGATAACTCTATTTATTAACTGACATTAAGGCACCAACAATTCATCTTTTTGTTGGAGGGGAGGGGGAATATTGACTTCTTCTTATTTGGAATGTACCAAGATTTAATCAATATTTAATGAATGTACTGGTAAATACATGTTTATTCCAATTATTAAGGTCCCCAAGGGGGCAATGACAAAGATACAATCCTAATTCAGTTATATCCGTATATAAAGAATACAGACAAAGAATACAATGTACTGTGTATATAACCATGATAACTGATGTAATTATAACAATAATAAAAAAAAAACATTTTAAATGTTCAGTTCTCACACTCAGCATGTTGGTTGTATGCGGTAAAGTGACCCTAGGGGAGGCAAAGTTTGAAACTTTGGTTGGATTGTTTGCTTAGCTGAAGAATACAACAGGGGAAAGTTCTGAAGAGTCTTACAGGTTCACTTTACATATTTTGTTCAGATATATTCATTAAAGGTGTCATTTCATCAAGTGAATGAGGACTTACCTCTCATATATCATGTATATACCTGTGACCTTAAAGTTACATTTTACAAGGGAAATTTATGTATTGAACTGTGTACTTATATTTACATGAGACCTTAGAGATTCTTTCCGACTGACATACACATATATTTTAGTCATTGTGTAAACAGTATTTTACCTTTTGTAGGAGCCAGTAAAGATAGCAGGAGCATCTGACATAGACACCTCCTCTGAAGTACCAGTTATACCAGCTGGTCCTCCTAAACCTAAACCAAAAAGAGGTATTCACTTGATATTACTTGTATATAACTTTATTATACTATGTTTTATGTGTAATGCAATGCAATCAATGGCAATCCTTATGAGCAATTTATCAGCCATCCATGATGGTATTGATATCAGTGACAGTTGCAAAGGCTTTATCAAACCTCTTATCTGTATTATGTCATTTCACAAGAAAAAACATTTATTTTAGGTATATGTATTAAAGTTTATATGATATGACTTTTCAGGGTTCTCACTAGGGTGATGCCATGAGTCCTTGACTCATTAAAATCTGTCTGGACTCATAATTTTCAAACTGGTGAGTCCAAAGATGTATCAAGATTGTAAAATGTTGTATCATCTGAGCACAAATATCATCATTTTATGACAAAAGTTAAAATATAATCAAAAGTTGATGTCATTTCCTTGCTCTATTTTGTCAAGGGGACAGAAATAATAAATGATATATTTAGCAATAAAATTTCTTCTCTCACTGTTGGACTCAACATGGCCAAAAATTACAAGTCCCTGGACTTGCTTCCAAATTCTTTAGTGAGAACTCTGCTTTTTCAATATCACACACTGTATCAAACCCCAACCAATATAATACCGTTGGTGTCTCGGGTAAATACCCATGTGTTATTGAAAAATCCATATTATATTCTCTATTTTCTACATACATGTATGGAGGTTTAATTTTCATAAGTTTATTTAAATGGGGATTTTTCAGGGTTGGTAAGGGAGGTCATAAAAATTAAACTTACATTTAATCGTTGAAATTTTGCTCGGAAATATTCAATGAGTTTTTGCATTGAGAATTGCTTGCTTGTTGTGTTTTACTCTATTTTTACTAGAGATCCACCTTAGCAAAGCCTTTTATTTTAAAGACTTTTCAGTTTGTAGAGCTTTTGCAGTTCCAGATATGATGTCTGATTTTGTTACCTCAGTTTTTATCTTGATTTTCCCTCAATTGATATAATACAGTGTACTACAATGTTTCATTTTATATAAAATCTAAAGTAACGTTCTATAGACTCAATCCCTATGATCTCCACTTTTTCCAGTGAAGATTTCATGATGGGCACTTCTTCAAACATTGTCAAACACAGAGTTTTATTTTTTGATGAAGCTCATTTTATTTGTAGCACCAGAACTACCAATATTTGAAAGAAAGAATTGGTTAATACATCTACATTATGTCAGGAAGGAGTTCGATACATGTAAATCACTCATCAAAGAATCAATGGCTGAGAGTGGAGGCATGTGTGAATATGCTGTTTATGTGCAAGGTAGGATTGTTAATATGCTGTGTATATGCAAGGTAGGATTGTTAATATGCTGTGTATGTGCAAGGAAGGATTGTGAATATGCTGTGTGTGTGCAAGGTAGGATTGTGAATATGATGTGTATGTGCAAGGTAGGATTGTTAATATGCTGTGAATATGATGTGTATGTGCAAGGTAGGATTGTGAATATGATGTATATGTGCAAGGTAGGATTGTGAATATGATGTGTATGTGCAAGGTAGGATTGTGAATATGCTGTGCGTGTGCAAGGTAGGATTGTGAATATGATGTGTATGTGCAAGGTAGGATTGTGAATATGTTGTGTGTGTGCAAGGTAGGATTGTGAATATGATGTGTATGTGCAAGGTAGGATTGTGAATATGCTGTGTGTGTGCAAGGTAGGATTGTGAATATGATGTGTATGTGCAAGGTAGGATTGTGAATATGATGTGTATGTGCAAGGTAGGATTGTGAATATGATGTGTATGTGCAAGGTAGGATTGTGAATATGATGTGTATGTGCAAGGTAGGATTGTTAATATGCTGTGTATGTGCAAGGAAGGATTGTGAATATGCTGTGAATATGATGTGTATGTGCAAGGTAGGATTGTAAATATGCTGTGTATGTGCAAGGTAGGATTGTGAATATCTTATTGTACATGTAGTTTGAAATATCAGTACTTTTGACAGAAAGGCTAGATAGAATTTAAATAAGTGTTGGAGTAGAAATATTTATGATTGACTGAATAAGTACAAAATTTCTCATTGTACATTTACTTTTTCTAATATCATACGCAGTGGATTATACTATGAAAGGGAGCTATGAAGTTTATAGACAAGAAACTGTGTGTTTATTTTTAAAATTGTCACTCGAGAATTTACCTTACAAGTTGTTGCTATGTTTACACTTTAAAAATTGGCAAGTTTTATGAAAATATTTATGAATCATTCCTTATTATTATGTTGATATTATTTTATTTTTATGAAGGAAATTTCAGTGTTAGAATAAAAAAATAATTGAAAAAAATTTCTGTTATTACACATGTGAACTTTGATAAGAAATAATAAATAAAAGCACATTGTTTATTTTCAGCATTGATATTAAGACAGGAAGGTCGAATACAAGAATCTCTAGAATTGTTTCAGACCTGTACGTTACTTAATCCTCATAGTGCTGATAATCTGAAGCAAGTAGCTAGATCACTGTAAGTAATACAATCTAGGACCAAAATATATTATATAGATAATATTTGTATTGATATACCATTTGTGTTATTTTTGACTGAAGCAACAAAAATTTCATGATTCACTTTTTTGTGAGAGTATTTTAATCTTAAAAAATGTATTTTCATGGTAATCATGAAAATATTTATGAATCCACAACATTAATGATTCTAAGATTATATTTTCCTTAAACTTCAGTAGTGTTGAAGAGAATCTTAAAAATATCAAAATTATAATGAAAAGCCTAACACTCATAAATATGAAAATTTATTTACCTCCATTCATGCACTTCATTTATTTAAGAAAATTGGTTTTTAATTCATTTAAAAAAAAATTATGAAAATGTTTCACAGTTATTATTATACTGTTGAATTTTTACCGAAGGATATGGATTTGACTTTAATTAAACTTATTTCAATTTAAAGATAGTATAAAAAAACATGTTACATTTTATTCAACAGATTCTTATTGGCTAGACACAAAGCTGCACTTGATGTATATAATGAAGCCATAAAGCTTAATGAGAGAGATTGGGTAAGTCTTTTAACACATTGTAGTATTAATTTTCAGATAAAATTGCATTTTCTTAAAATAGGGCATATTACTTAGTTTTTAAGTGATATGAATAGGGATAAACCTAGGATTAATACTTTTTGATAAGAACATTTTACAGTGTAGCTTTTTTCTAATTGTCAGGGCTCAATTGGACTTATTTGGAGTTATCTCCCATATTAATATAAATAATACATTGAGTTGTCTCCCATATTGTGACTTCATGAATTCTAACTATAAATTATGAAGTAAATTCATTCATGAGAAATAAGATGTGTAGAATTGTAATGTTGATGTTATTAATGATTTCAGGAAATAGCTCACAACCAAGGAGTTTGTAACATGTACTTGAGAGAATATGACAAGGTAATTATTTTTAGTGAAAAACAAACATTCAGGATTTGTAGGTTAAACATTCAGAAAGAAACAGGTAGCCCACTATAACATCCACAGACATTTTTGTTTCATGCATGAGTTAAAGGGAAACTCCGCAAAAAAATGAAAAATTGATATTTTGTTCTTTAAGCATAAAAAACCACATGTTCATAAATAAAAAACTTTTATTCTCTATGTAAAGAGATCAAAATCGATTTTTGAAATTCACTATCAGTTCTCGACATATCGCCATCTTGTCGGCATGTTCGATCTAAAAAGTCACGTGATATCTATAAACCACAAAGAACAAAAAGAATCGGGGATTTACCGACCGTGCGTTAAAAACTCCCATCATCAATTGGGGATTACCGTAGACGGTTATTCAGTGTCAAAATGTCTTGCCAAGCGTACGGTTGTTCTGTCGGACAAGGTTACGACAAAAGTCTACATAGTTTTCCCAATCCCACAAAAAAAGACAGAATTGTATCAGACATGGTTGTACAACCTTAAACTAACAGCAAATAGTTGCATCTATAACAAGCACAAGTTGGTGTGTGAAGACCATTTTGAACAATATTGTGACGAGGGAGATTCGATGGTAATTATCCTTTTTTAATAACAAAATAACCTAGCAGTTCTGATAGCTATAGTTATCAAATCCTCATATGATAAGATCTCGTTGAATAAAAAAAATATAGATTTGATGAGGAAGAACAGTTTCAATTTAAGAAAGACAAATGCAGTGTTCTTGTAACAATCACTGATTTACAGAAGATTCATTAGTATGCCTCTTTTATATGAAGTCAGAGACATATATACACATGGAGATATATATATACACATGTGTATATATGTCTGTGATAAAGTGCATTGATTTGTATAAAGAATAGTTCCGTATTTAGACAAGATAATTTTTCAATTAATAAAGTTATACGATATAAAATAACATTTTTTTATTATGATATTTAACGGCTATTGACAAGGAGCAATGTTAGGAAGAGGTTTTAGCTGGGACATAATATGTTGATATAGTATAATATTCCCAGGTTTAATATAGATATGTAAATATCGAAATATCGGACATCTCAATTTTTTTTATTAAAAGTGTTTTTTTTTTTAACTTATCTTTAAATTATATCAAATTGATACGGAATCAATTCGGAACGGTCAATTATAAAGACACTTAGTTTTTTAGTTAAATGTGTGACTCTATCTGGTATGTTCGGTGAAAAATTTATAGTAGTTTTTTCTTTTTAAATTTTATTTACGTTATCTTATATATATATATATTTTGGCTTCCTCCCGAATTGATAATAGGTATGTCAGAATTATTGATAGATGTCGTGTCAGAGCGACACATTCAGTTAGGTATTCCAAGGACGTATATTAGATACACGACCCTGGGTATTCCAGTGACATCCTGTCAACTAAAAATTCGTATTACACAATTATATAATACAGGTTCATGCATGGCCTCTTTATTGAGGTACCCGGTGTGCACAGGTAACATTTATTTGTGTCGAACGTTGTTTATCTTGTGTGTGTTTGAAATTATAATTCCACCTTTTAATGAATGATGTTCTGATGATAATATTATCCACTATTTTTGCTGATAATAAGTTTTAAAAAATTATAAACATGACCTTTGAACATTTTGGTAAAATGAATATAGTTTTGTCATGATTCTGGACCATATTTTTGAGAAAAAAAAATTCTTCACGCAAATACAAGCTTTTGTCGATTGGCAAACATGCAGATATATAAAGTAAAGCAGCACTTATAGTCACTATCAATATTAATTCATTGAAGATAAGAGAGCCCCTTCTATGTCTAATGTCCCTATCTTTATAAGGATTAGGACGACAGGGAAAAGGGAGCGGAGTTAGAGTGGCATAGTGAAAAAAAATAACCAAATAGAGAACAATATAGAGAACGATCGATGAAAAGCGAAATATTTATTGTAAAGGAGCGGAGATAAAGAGAGGCATAATGAAAAAAATGTTTGCTTGACAAAGTTTTTGCTCGCTTTGATATTTTTAGTTATACAAAATCACACATCGTGTTCCTAATTGGTATTCACGTGCACTAACTTGATGCTGGGAACAGTATATTAATATATATGTTCCTGCTTGATGTGTTAAGTTTCTGCATAGCATGGTTAAAAATTAATTAGTATCCCATTTGTTATATCGTAGTGTCACGGTCTTACTTTGTTAAATTTATTTAGTTTGTTAATGATTGTGTAAATAAGAACAAATCTGTATAAAAACTTCATACCATTTTAGTGATTGCCTATAGGCGTTTGATTATTGTTACATTTAAGATATATATATATACATTTAGAACCTTTCATACATCTTAAAGTAAAAGATGTGTGTCAGAGTTAAACGACACAAGAACCCTGTAATACTAGTACGAGAGTATAGCATGTAAAAATTCCTACTCATAATGGTTGTATTGGAAATCTTTTCATACAGATTGACAACTCATGGTCCGACATGCATGTAATATTTTCCACATGACGCTCATAGTTCTTTCTACCATCATCATCTTATTCATTAAATATTGCTGTAAACATCGATGGTCCACAACCAAACAAAATGGGAGTAATATACCTTCAGATCTTCTCCGTGGTATACACTTGTGAAATATATAGACGAAATTCGGTATTGAAGTGAATCTACATCTCACAAACACAATTTTTGAATTACGATTTTGAGTGAACACCCACCAAACCAATACAAACGTACGGCAAGATATAACCATGCAGGCATTTAGTTTTCGTCAGACACAAGATAAATAATGACTCCCATAAAAGTGTATATGCATGCAGTTTCAAATATCAAGAACAAGCGGTCGATGTCTATGGATCTTTGTTAAGTCCGTTTACTAACTGTTCAGAGTCAGACATGTCAATAGTTCATTCTTGGAACGGCCTTCATATACCCCATCCGACGATGGGAACTCTTTCTAATAGTGTTGACAACATAAGCTTGTTTATCTGTACAAGTGGTTGCATGGCATCTCCTGCCCCAACAAACAAATACGCTACTAGTCTGCTATCTCTTTAGCTCATCCTCAATGGCGCTTATACGTCAGGAAACTTACAAGTATACTAGTAAAGATTGTTTCAAGAACAACGAGATTGGGACGAACTGTTCTAAAATCGTCAATATCAGTAATATACAATACTAAGAGATGCCCATTTAATTACAACAACTGTATTACTAATTTGGATTAATGACGGCTATCCTAAAAAAAATCCTCAAACCAATTAATGTAGCTTAGATTTATAATGTATGTATATTCATTAATGAAATAAACGATAATTGGTATTCTTTTCACAAATAATTTGTCTAAGTGATTGTCAAATGAATTTAACTATGTAAGAATGAAATGTTAATAAAAAAGAAAAAAAAATCATGCATGTTGTACTGTTGTATTTTTTTCAATTAAAAACTTTAAAATTGCGATAGTTTTACGATTGTTAGCATTTAAACATCGCCAGATTTAAATACAAGTTAAAGAATTCCGGTAAAGTAAATTAAACAGATGTGCAATGATTATTAATTGGGAAATGTAACATTTAATTTTTAAGATTAAAAGTACTATTCTTTTAACTTCATATCTTAACTTTATGCTAATTGCATAGAACGTAACCGAAAATTGTTCCATTTTAATATTGTAACACTTCCGGAATTAAAAAGTTGAATGTTAATTTTCAATTAATTTATACAATTTAATTATTGTTTCTCTATTGTGATCGGGTATTTCATCTGGGTATATTAAACACGCTATACTCTTTCTGTTAATCCATTCAAAATGACAATATTCACACCTGTGTACGCCTGAGGCTAAATTGCTGCAAGGTAAAGTTCAAACGAATTCTCCTCAAATCGAGAAATAAACAATGACTTTACAAAATTATATACACACTCTGTTCACAAATATTTTGCATTGAAATGGTTATCAAAGTTATAACGGTAAATAAAACTTAAAATATTTTCAGTTCAATATCAGTAAAAATGTTCTATAGATATTTTATGAAAAAATCTCATTAATTTTTGAAATTAATTCGAAAATATTTATATTTAAAGATAACTTCATATAGGAAGTTTTATTCAATCAATACAAAACGGTACACACATATTCATTTTCTTTCATTCTTATATTGTGGTTATTAACTACGACCAACGGTCATCTGTGCGCTTTTAATTACGTAAAATTCTGATAAGCAATTAAGACTTTAACAGGTTTTATTTTTTCCCATGATTCAACAATTCGGGTTAAAACGTCACAACCCAGTGACGTAGGTCAACCAAAAAAGTTACAAATACTTGATTTTCTCCGTTATTAGAAAGAATATAAATTTAAAACTTTGTGAATGTGTTTTTTATGTTAAGATGAATATATTTAGATGAAAAGTAAAAAATCGCGGAGTTTCCCTTTAACAAAAACAAAACTGTTTTAAATGGCCTATATAAAGAACATTTAATAAGATTTTATTGCAACTGAATATAAGCCACTCTATGGTCCAATCATATGTAGCTCAACAAATGTATCAACAGAATTAAGTAATTTATGCACATGCTCAATGTCAGTGAGATGACCAACCAACAACAGAAACATGCATATTTTTTCAATTGTGAGTGGCAAGGGGGACATTTTGGAAGGTGCATTGAAATATCATCCAATTTAACAGAATATTGAATATATTTTATTTCTTTGTAGGCAAAACATTGTTTGACCCAGGCTCTGACATTTAAAAGACATGAGATAACATTTTTAATGCTGGGGAAAATTTATTTGATGGAGGGAAATATAAATGGTGCAATAGATATCTACAAACAGGCTGTGGAGTGAGCATAAATGTTAAAGAAGAATATGTGTCCATATAACTATCACATTTACATGTTTAGTGAACAGCAAAATCTGCATCAAAACCTTATTTAGAATATAGTAATAAACAAGAATGTGTCCATAGTACACGGATGCCCCACTCGCACTATCATTTTCTATGTTCAGTGGACCGTGAAATTGGGGTCAAAACTCTAATTTGACATTAAAATTAGAAAAATCATATCATAGGGAACATGTGTACTAAGTTTCAAGTTGATTGGACTTCAACTTCATCAAAAACTACCTTGACCAAAAACTTTAACCTGAAGCGGGACAGATGGATGAACGGACGCACAGACCAAAAAACATAATGCCCCTTGGTGGGGCATAAAAAACCTTCTGAATCTCAAGTTGATATATTACCATAACTTCATAGTTAACTACCTTTCAGTTAAAATAATCTGAAATAGAATGGATGGACATACACATTATGGAAAACACAATACTCCCCTACTATTGTAGAACGGGAATAAACATGACCAATTCCTTAAAAACATTTATGTGTTTATATATCAAATTTCATTGTGTGATTATGGTTAAAAGGATTGAAATTGAAAACTATTCAGACCTAACTTATTTACCAAAAATGTTAAGAAACTCATTATTCAGATGCAGTTATTTGGTAAACTGGGAACATAACATACAGCTGCTTATTTGACAAATAATTTTACATTGAAAAAAGTATTTAAAATCTAATGTCTTCTGAGCATACTTCAAGAAAATGAATTGTTGAGACAGAACTCTGTTAAGAGTCACATTTTTAAGCTTTGAACAGTCTACAATTCATTAAAAATGATAAAAAAATGTAATTGTGTCATTATTTGCATGATTCTTTAAGATCTGCTTACATGTGTATGTTAAAAAAAATCCATTCTTTTATGAATTTTGCCAACATGAAATTTTTTTTAAAAAATTTCTGTGACTCTTTTCACAAAACAGTATTACGATCAAAATTGATCATAAGTTATGCTGAAATGTGTATAATAACAAGATTTTTTTGTGAAAAGAGCCGCTAGTACCTTTGAAATAATTTTGGCAAACTTTTGTTTTAGACCTTTAAACGTTGATGCTTTTGTAGTAAAATGTAACAGGAAGCGACAGCTTGAAACTTAGCAACCCAACAGGAGAATCCACATAATTTTCTTCTATCTTAGAATTTAAAATTTATTCTAGAATCAATGTCCGTTAATTACTTGGTCTGGCCTAAAATTATTTGGAAATGGTTAACAAACGCTTTGTGATATTTCAGCTGATTTAAATGTACTAACTTTTTAAAAGTGTATCTTTTATTATATCCTCCAGTATATTATCTTGCCAATGTCAGTTTTGGATTTCATGGTAGCAGATTGTGTTTTCTGCAAATAAGTGACTATCATTTCTAAGAATGTAAGATCTAATACAATTTTTCATTGGTTTCAGGTATTCTCCAGAAAATCCAGACATGTTAACTACTCTTGGCTTGTTGTACATGCAGGTGAGTGAAAACACAATACATAGTGATATATATATGTACAGTGTTAGTAATTGTCCTTATATTCCAATTCTTACTAAAGTTTCTGTCAGCCTGAAAACTTGATTTTCACTCAGATTGCACCACCTTGGTGATCTGTTGCATGAATACCTATGATATGGGATCTTGCCAGTCCTGTACACACCAGGGTATCTTCATTTGACAATACCATGATATGCATATAATAATTTTTGCTGGATGTCAAGTAAATATCAATTCATCAATGAATTCTTAAGATTTCAAACTATGCTATGAAATTATGTTACTAATCTTAAAAAGGATCCAATTATACAGTTATTATTTAACCATACTTAGTTATGAGCTAGTCTAAGCACCAACTTATTAAGAACATAGAACAAAGTAGATAAATCTATTATATTTTTATATTATAGAGTTTTTTTCATATTATTCATAACTCTTCAGGTAACCCAGTTCCAAAAAGCATTTGAAAATTTGGGAAATGCCATGACCTATGACCCTGCCCATGTCAAGGCCATCATGGCAGCAGGAAGTATGATGCAGACACATGGTGACTTCGATGTTGCTCTGAACAAGTATAGAATAGCTGCTGTGGGGACACCTGAGAGTCCTCCATTGTGGAATAATATTGGAATGGCCTTCTTTGGAAAGAAGAAATATGTTGCTGTAAGTAATATTATTAGCCTAAAAATGATTTTATTGACATAATATATTTCAGGGAATTAACATATTATTAATTTTTTTCAGGTAAAATTAAGGAGTTTTGTACAATTTAGCATCTTCAATTTGCTTATGCAATGTCCTAAGAAAAAGGTCTGACTAGTGTTGTTCAAAAGATAATAAAAACAATATAAGTACTAAGTATATAGAATCATGTGCAAAACAGTGTAGCCGAGATCATTGATTGGCGCGCTAAAATATCCCATTGACTGGGTCAGATTAGGTGAACGTTCGTCTGTAACGCCCACAACTCACGACGTATTTATTATAGAAATTTAAACTGTGGGATCACCAAAGGGTCTCAACGCCTAAATAAAATAACTCGAAAAACTAATCAGGAATAACCTTTGTGTTTTGATTTATATTGAATACTTAAACGTTCTTTACTTGTGTTTTCGTTATGTTTTGATAATCAATTTTTATGATATCGCACGTTCTTTCAGCAAAAAAAAAAAAAGGATTTAACTGGCTTTAAAAGTTACAATGCATGTGTTGATTATTATTTTTTTTTTCGGACGTCAAAGCGATTTAACAATTGCGGTTGTCCAATTATGTCATCTTTTAACTTTTATCTGGTCAAAATTTTATTTTAGAAGGAATGCATGATCAACTTTAAAAAGTGTGCGTACACAAAACATATAATAGACAAAATATACTTCTGTCCTGTCTTTTTCGTACTTGCAAGTTATTAGACAATAAAAAGACTATTTGGATCAAGCCTTGTGGAATTTGCATTTACGTTTTTGAATAGGTAAAATGTATAGTTTGGTGAACTTTTCTGCTAACTACTATACTTGTGAAAAACCCTTGGCAACAGAAACATATTCAGCTTTTTTTTTAATCGACCCAATTTACATAGTAATGGACGACTTCGTACATTTTATGATCGCAAATAAAATATGTATATAATATGCTGTGCACTGTAGAACGTATATATACTGAGACCCTTTGGCAACCCCACAGTTTAAATGTTATAATAAATACGTCGTGAGTTGTGGGCGTTACAGACGAACGTTCACCTAATCTGACCCAGTCAATGGGAGAATTTAGTGCGCCAATCAATGGTCTCGGCTACACTGTTTTGCACATGATTCTATATAGATAGAATTACTTTTCCAGTGAGTTCACATACAGCTTTTTCAAAATGACTGCTGGCCATGTGTGAATAATGAAAGCATTTGATCTCAACTTGACATAGTACATTTATTATTTATAACTATATCAGTGTATGAGATCTTAAAAACATTGAACAGAAATCAGGCCAGATAAACAGTTTGGATGTGGCCATTTAAGAATTTTACAAATATCAGATATTATTGTCCAATTATTAATTTATCTTAAAAGCTGGAGGACTAGCATCTGATTCTCTGACAAAATAGATTTGGGGACAAATTTAGACTTTTTGCAGTATTTACATTAAGGAACTGATGTTTGTTTCCTTCTTAGGCTATCAGCTGTCTTAAGAGAGCCAACTACTTAGCTCCCTTTGACTGGAAAATATTGTACAACCTAGGACTAGTACATCTCACCATGCAACAATATGCCTCAGCTTTCCACTTCCTCAGTGCTGCTATAAATCTCAGACCAAAAATGTCTGCCTTATTTTCATTACTGGCAGGTAAGTAGATAAGTTATATATTTAGGTCAATACTAAGGAAAAAGAATGGATTTAAAATAGCTTGGATCATAAAAAACTTATTGAAATGTGATCTGCCTCATTTATACTGATGGTAAAGTTTTATTTTGTTGACATATGGAAGTATTGGCAAGTAAACGTTTTAAAGCTGATTTTCTTTAATTGTTCTTGCATTTAAACCAAATCTGGACAATTAGATAAACATTCGATAAACCACGAATGATTAATTAGCGTGTGCCATATTTTCCAAATATTCCTCACATTTCAAATTTTTAGAAATTTAATGATCTCAAGTGTTTAAATATCATAATCAAGAGGGTATTGTAAGATAATCTATATATGGCGAAACAGCACTTTTAAATCAAGTTTAAACCTTGTATGTATTTAGGAAAAGAAAAAAATGTAATCAGTGCAAATGATTTTTTGAATGTTATTTTTTGTAGATAAAATTTGATATTATAATTTCAGTGGCATTATCCTATTTAGAAGACCCAGACAATGCTAAGCAAGCTTATGAACAGGCCATTGGTCTTGATCAGTAAGTTTATAATTATGTGGCAGTTGTCAGTTTCTGTCCCTTTTGCCATTGCTCTAACAAGGAATACAACATTTTTGTGTCATGAAATGATATAAAGTTAATGTTTTCATTGTTCTTATTTGTAGAGACAACTGTTTCCATGCAATAATGTCTGTTTGCTCACCTTGTCAAAAGACACTGGAAAACATTTCAGCAGTCTTCCTTCAAAATTTGAATTACAAAATGAATATATATTACTCAGTGTTAGGCATAAGATCACTTCTCCAACGTCCTTATAAATCCTAATTAATAAAATTGAGAATGGAAATGGGGAATGCGTCAGAGAGACAACAACCCAACCAAAGAGCAGAAAACAGCCCAAAGCCACCAATGGGTCATTCAACACAGCGAGAAAATGCCCCACCCAGAGGCAGGTTTCAGCTGGCCCCTAAACAATAATGTATACTAGTTAAGCAAAAATGGACATCACACTAAACTCTGAAACATATAAATGAACCAAAATTAAAAAAAACATACAAGACTAACAAAGGCCAGAGGGTCCTGACTTAGGACAGGCGCAAAAATGTGGTGGGGTTTTGTGAGATCTCAACCCTCCCCTATACCTCTAACCAATGTGGAACAAATAAACACACAGCAATACGAACAGTGAAAATCAGTTTAAAAGAACTTTAAGATGTCTTGAGTCCGATGTTAGAATAGGTAACAGAAGAAACTAAGCAAAATGACAATAATTAACATAAATTAACAAAGGACTACTAGCATTTACTAACATGCCAGCTCCAGACTTCAATTAAACTGATTAAAAGATTATGTCTTCATCATATAAAAATCAAGCCCAATCCCTCCCGTTAGGTGTTTAGTATCTTACCATCATAAAATATACGATATGAGAACAGAACCCGTTTCATGCCAACAACGGTTTTAGAATAAATGTTTTTATTTCCGATGCAAAGACCCTATGAGTGAATCAGTATTAATTAAAAAAAAATGCCATCTTTTATGACCTGACAAGCATGTCATGTAGGTTATTTGAATTACTTGAAATAATGCCTGATAAATGGTTAAATGAATAACATGTAAAAAAAATATATACAGATGTCACTCAATATAAGATGTCACGCAAGGAGATTCTATATGTACCTATGTATAAAAATAAGAAGATGTGGTATGATTGCCAATGAGACAACTCTTCACAAGAGACCTAATGACATATAGTTAACGATGATAGGTCACCATACGGCCTTCAATGGTCAACATAAAAGCAATATTTTGTAAATTTGTGCTGTCAGGCCGTGGAATTCCTATCACATTGAGCTGATTATAATGTGGCTTTGCTAAATTTTTATGATCCTTTGAAGGATATGCCTAAAACAAAAAATGATTTTGTCATAATATTTTATCAGTAGGATTCATTTATATATATATGCCAGGTGTGCAATACAGGCCTTTTGATTTATTTTAATTCTGTAGGGAAATCCCTGCCAGGATTTTAAAATCATAATTGTGGTAGCTTTTGATATTGTAGAGCTATTAGAGGCTTAAATTAATTCAGAATCATATTTTTACAGGAAAGATCCCAACATCCCATTGAATTTTGCTATATTTTTATATAACAAAGGAGACAAGAGGGAAGCATCTAGTCAGTTCAGGGAGTTTGAATCTAGAGTTAAAGCTGGTCAGATGAGCTTGGATGCTGAGGTAATGTTATCAACATTTAACCATGGTGATGTTTTAAAAATACAGGTGGCCGCTAAAAATTGTCAATATTTTTTGTCAATAATTTTTATTGTCACCAAATCCAAAACGTTTGCATCTAGACCACCCTCTTTTCAGACATGCATCACCTTTAATTTGAAGTCAGTTCATGCATATTTCATCAATTATAAAACAAATGTTTGATTTTTTTCTTGCTTATCATTTACCCTTTGTAAAACCTTCCCACCTTTAATGGCAAGCATAAAAAAACCATTCATATTTGTTTACCTGAAACCAGAAGAGATGCTTTTTAAACTTGAGACTATTAATTTCATTAAAAAAGTCATCAAGGGAAAGTATATGGTAGTATTGGATTATTAAAAGTAAAACCTCACCAGGACTGCTCAAAGGCACAAGGATAAACAACAATTCATGGTATCAAAAAAACTGCATTTGTAGAGTACTGTAGATAAGGCCTTTAAACATCAACTTTACTATCGGTTAACCGCTTAATCAGTCAAAAGATTATTTGAGTAACCGGTGAGGCAGAACTGTTCGATTTGACAACACTAGTAATTATTTAGCAATACTTCTGATTTTGAAGAAATTTTGTATGCATTTAAAACTCATTGAACTCTATTTTATTGCTGTAAAAATTGCTGTTTTAAGGATAAGAAAATATAAGGGGTCACTGGATTGGTCTTTGCTGTTAAAATATGACAGATGTATGAAAAAAACACGAAATTAACAAATCTGCTGTATGACAGCAGCAGAACATTACAATTGTTTTGTTGTTTTTACTTTTTTTTCACACTACATAACCCACTGATTTTGCTTGTCAACAACAAAAAGTACAATATTTTGAAATTGTGTTGAATAAATTTTTATCATTATACAAAACTGAAAAGTTTGTAATATTTGACATTTACTGTCATCTTATTTTATATTCAGACACAAGAAGCAGCCACCAAATTAGCTACTGCCTTACAAGTTGGAGATAGCTTAGTCTGGAAAACTCCACCTAAGCCTGAACCTCAACCAGAGGCACCATCAGACTCTAATGCCAACAAACTACCACCGTCTTATGTCAAGGAGCCACCAGTATCTCAGAAAGACACTGGACCAGCTGATGTTCCACCATCACCAGCCCCAACACCAATTATACCACCTTATGATCCATATGAGGATGACAGACAATCCAGAGCTAGTCATCGTCAAGAGGCAGAAACACCAACACCGCACCCTGCTCCAAATAGGGTTATGGGTGGACTTCCACCACTGGCAGCCATGGGTGGGATGGGTGGGAAAAGTCTCCCGGCTCTGTCAAGGACGATAAGACAGTCTGATATAGATAAGTTACCTCCCCCTCCTTCTACAGAGCTACCACCATCCTATGATGAGGCTATTGATGAATTGGAACATCCTCCTCCAACAAAGGAGAAAAGACAAATGGAACCAGCCATGTGATGATTTAAAGCTGAACGACTTGAGTATTTTTTTAATGGAATTCAGTGGCATGTGTAATAATGAAATGTGACCGTACCTCCCTTTTAGGGGATGACACAATAATATACTTTCCAAATGCTAGAATATTTCATTCTCTTTTCAATTTCTCACACATTATCTCAGTTTGGGTAAATCTGTGAAAATTATATCAGATTGTAGTCACATTCTTCTGCTATTTCTCAGTTCATATTGTTAACTTGCATAGTGTTACTGAAAATATAATATGTTGTTAGATTATTTGAGTACAAAGACAGAACAATTTTGTATTTTATTAGCATACCATGAATACTACTTGAACATATGTCTTAAGACACAGTCACAGTTTGAACATCAATAGATATTATGTATGTTCTAAGTACAGCAAGTTTTATCATATTAAAGAAAGTTTGAGATGGAGAGTTTTAAAATTGAAATTTCTATCATTTGAAACACTAAAAAAAAGTTAAAATTTTACTTTTTGATCTTTAAGATAGTTTTGTCTTTATATCTGTTTATGGAATTACATCTGTATGTTTGTGAATTTGTCTGTGATATTTCTTATGCTTTCTTTTTAATAAAAAGAAAATAACATTTGTTTGTTGTCAGATTAATATAGAATTGGCATGTCACATTGTGTCTAGTATGGTTTTATACTCTTGAGACTCCTCATGGGGGTGTCCAAGTAATCACATAATCACTAATTTTTTGCCAATATAATCACATAATCATTATTAAATTATTTTTAAACAAGATAATCAAATAATCAAAAATACAGTCCTGGATTATCAAATAATAAAATAACCATGAAATATTTGGTCTGGTAATCAAATGATCACTATAAAAACGGCCAAGTAATCACATAATCAAAAACCACATGAGGAGGCTCACTCTTTAAAAGCACATCTTTTCTGTTGACATGTATTCCTATTTCTTTTCCCTGTCACTGGCCATACATTTTTTCTCAATATTTGTTTTTGACTCGTGATTTTGAAATTATACATATGATTATAAAAATAAGGAGATGTGATATGATTGCCAATAAGACAACTATCAACCAGAGTCCAAATGACATAGATGTAAGCAATTATGAGTATTGGTCAGCACACAGTCTTCAGAAATAAAATGTGCAAAACGCATACTGTATAGCCAGCTAAAAAAGTCCCTACATGACAAACCTGAAACAGTTCATAAGGAAAAAAAACACACCCTGATTTATGACAAAACAATGACAGAAAAGAAAAGCGAATATGACAGACAGCAACCAAGGACAACCACTGAATAATCTTGGGACAGGCACATAAAGTATTTTTCAGAGTTAATATAAAAATAATAAGATGTGGGATGATTGCCAAAGAAACAACTCTCCACCAGATACAAAATGATGAAGAAACATGTTTGTGAGTGCTCAAACCTCACCCTCTAACCTAGGACAGTGGTGTAACAGTTCAACATTATAGCAAAGTGGAAAACTCAGTGGGAAATGGCTTGACTCATGGGATTGGCCAAAAGCACAAAAAACAACTAAAAAAAAAGACAAGACTCAAAGTACGTACCGATCTAAGAGTACTCATAGTAACAGGAAGCTAGTTCAAAACCAATTACAACTAATAAATTAATCCTGTGGTAGAAAATATATTATATTTTAGGATCAGATATCAAAGAGGAGTAACTCATTCTACTCAAAAGTCTTTCCCCCGCATCATAACTCAAAAGTACACTGCCTAGAATCATTAATCAGGTCCAATGAAGAAAAAGGGCACAGAGAGTTTCTTAAATCTTTAAATTGATAAACAATTATGCAGCATCAATGGTACACTTCATAATTATGTGATAGGGTAACAAGGACATAGACTTCAAGATCATTGTCACTGGACTTAAAAAAATCACCTTAAAAGTTTTACAGAGCATTTGGGAATTTAATTTGTATATTGAGCTGGCAGATACAGTTTTTTTGGCAGTCAATAGTATTAACAAGGAGAGTTTAATGGTTGTATTAGAACTTATCTGTGATTGTTCCATACTAAAATTGACTCTTAATAGTTTGTTTTATAAAAGTCATAATTTTTATGGATTGGTTCACAAATACAAAAATGAGGAGATGTGGTATGACTGCCAATAAGACTATCCACAAAAGTCCAAATGATGTGGATATTAACAACTATAGGTAACAGTACAGCCTTCAACAATGAGAAAAACCCATACTATATTACAGCTATAAAAGTCCCCAACATGACAAAATGTGAAACAATTCAAATGTGAAAACTAGCATCCTGATGATATGACAATACAATAAACGAAAAACACATGACAGACAGCAACCAACAACAACCACTGAATTACAGACTCCAGACATATGACCGACATCAACCAACAACAACCACTGAATTACAGGCTCCCGACTTAAGACATACAGCAACCAACAACAACCACTGAATTACATGGCTCACGACTTAAGACAGACAATAACCAACAATAACTACTGAATTACAGGCTCCTGACTTAAGACAGACAGCAACCAACAACAACCACTGAATTACAGGCTCCCGTCTTAAGACAGACATCAACCAACAACAACCACTGAATTACAGGCTCCCGACTTAAGACAAACATCAACCAACAACGACCACTAAATTACAGGCTCCCGACTAAACACAGACATCAACCAACAACAACCACTGAATTACAGTTTCCCGACTTAGGACAGACATCAACCAACAACAACCACTGAATTACAGTTTCCCGACTTAAGACAGACATCAACCAACAACAACCACTAAATTACAGGCTCCCGACTTAACACAGACATCAACCAACAACAACCACTGAATTACAGTTTCCCGACATAAGACAGACATCAACCAACAACAACCACTGAATTACAGGCTCCTGACTTTAGACAGACATCAACCAACAACAACCACTGAATTACAGGCTCCCGTCTTAAGACAGACATCAACCAACAACAACCACTGAATTACAGGCTCCCGACTTAAGACAAACATCAACCAACAACAACCACTGAATTACAGGCTCCCGTCTTAAGACAGACATCAACCAACAACAACCACTAAATTACAGGCTCCCGACTTAACACAGACATCAACCAACAACAACCACTGAATTACAGTTTCCCGACTTAAGACAGACATCAACCAACAACAACCACTGAATTACAGGCTCCTGACTTAAGAAATACATCAACCAAGAACAACCACTGAATTACAAGCTCCAGACTTAAGACATACATCAACCAAGAACAACCACTGAATTACAAGCTCCCGACTTAAGACAGACATCAACCAACAACAACCACTGAATTACAGAGTTCTGTGCAAAATTATGGTTTTCCCTAGATGAAAGCTTTTAAACAATATTTCCAACTTTTATCAAACTTGCATTGGCTATGCCCAAGGAAATGAAGAATATCCTTTATAGACTGAAATAGGGGCATTTTGTTTCCTTTTGCATGTTGAACCATATGTTGAACCATCACCAAACTTGAGTTGAGAATTCACCCATGGAAAGAACAAAACCCCTAAAGGTTTGTTGGTCAGGATATCAAAGTTCACTGTCACAATGTTTATGAATATTTTTTTAGTCAAAAATAACATCTTTATCAATTTTTGGTACATAATAAGGATATATTGATCTTGATGTCAAAGGACAAGGCCAAAGCGTCAATTTTGTCCAACTCTTACCAAAAATGATTACCGCCCTTTTAAAGTACAAGATCTCTATAGTTTTGGGTTAGTATGTCAAGGTCAGAATTATCAGTACATATAAGAAAACTCTATAGTGGTTGTCTTTATATCTGTTCTGACCCCTATGGTAAACAAATAGTCGGACTGACATTTTTTAATTATTTTTCATTCCTTACAAAATATAGAATTTGCACATTAAACAATTAAAACAAATTTTCAACATAATTATTGGTGATAAAAATAATAATCAAGATGTATACATCTCAAACTAGTATCATTGTTTATACACCCCGTAAGAACCACTCTATAAAGTTGTGCAAGGCTTTTATCAAAATTTTTTTTTTAGCCCAATCCTATTTCCTATGGTATTTGGTGTTGATTGCAATTATAAATAAAACCACACCTCCTTTTATTGATATTAAATTTCATGTATAAGGTTCATATGCTTTGTTAATGTTTCGGCACATATACTCCAAGTAGGACGAAAAGAGGACCAATCAACAAGAAGCTTTAACAAACCAGTGTCCGCAGACAAACCAAACGAAAGGTTTAATAACTCGACCACAAAGGTTGTAAGGCAATATACCACATGTGACATACTGGTATAATCATTTAATACTCTGATTTATTATTTTAATATCGTGTTCATGAATTATTATTAGTATATAAATCTAACCTTTATAGCTTTAAAAATATAAACGAAAACAAATAGTAAAAATACGACAAATCAATGGGATACATTAAAGATAGTTTTGACAGTTTGAAGGTGGAAACCTTCCAGATAGTTTTGACAGTTTGAAGGTGGAAACATTACAGATAGTTTTGACAATTTGAAGGTGGATGTGCTGATGATATGAAGTATGACCTTTTTTTCGCCCTGGAAATTTTGGGTAAGTCCCAAGAAAAATGTTGTAACAAGATATTGTGCTTATGATTGTCATTAAACATGTCCGATTTTACTACTTATATCATACATAGTCAGTAAATGCAATAAAATTGAGAATGGAAATGGGGAATATATCAAAGAGACAACAACGCGACCAAGGAGCAGACAACAGCCGAAGGCCACCAATGGGTCTTCAACGCAGCGAGAAAATCCCGCACCCGGAGGTGGTCCTTAGCTGGCCCCTAACACTAGATAGATAGCATTTTAGTTCGCTTTAACGAAATTAAGGAGGGACTTGTACAATATCACGACGCCTGCGCGCGAGTCCGGTCCAACATAACAGACACTTTAAGTGAAAGGATTATACAACTTAATATTTGCATATCTGCTACTAAAAATTGTATATTCAAAGTTACACCGTAGTGATAACATATCTACTTATAAGAAGATCACTCTGACTTTACTCATAATTATATATACGCAAATTATGGATTTTACTTGTGTTGTATTTTTAAGAACAATTACTAATGACATAACTTTGTTAAAGTATATAGTCATTGTTTCCTGAGTTTCGGGAAAGTATATAGTCATTGTTTCCCGATTTTCGGGAAAGTAACTTGATTTTGTGGAATGACACTTTATTGTTGGTGGTAATATAAGCATTTTGTTTATGTTCTCATGGCTTCTTCAATTCGTTTGAACCTGAATTGTCATAGCCAAGTTTTTTCCCGTGAATTTAGTAGTTTCAATAATTCTTTTCAATGGTTAAATACCCGTGCAGAATATACCAGACTGGCCAGTCAATGGTTAAATACCCGTGCAGAATATACCAGACTGGCCAGCCAATGGTTAAATACCCGTGCAAAATATACCAGACTCGCCAGTCAATGGTTAAATACCCGTGCAGAATATACCAAACTGGCCAGCCAATGGTTAAATACCCGTGCAGAATATACCAGACTGGACAGTCAATGGTTAAATACCCGTGCAAAATATACCAGACTGGACAGTCAATGGTTAAATACACGTGCAGAATATACCAAACTGGCCAGCCAATGGTTAAATACCCGTGCAGAATATACCAGACTGGACAGTCAATGGTTAATATCTGTGCAGAATATACCAGATTTGACAGTCAATGGTTAAATACCCGTGCAGAATATACCAAACTGCCCAGCCAATGGTTAAATACCCGTGCAGAATATACCAGACTGGACAGTCAATGGTTAAATACCCGTGCAGAATATACCAGACTGGCCAGTCAATGGTTAAAAATCCGTGCAGAATATACCAGACTGGCCAGTCAATGGTTAAATACCCGTGCAGAATATACCAGATTGGCCAGTCAATGGTTAAATACCCGTGCAGAATATACCAGACTCGCCAGTCAATGGTTAAATACCCGTGCAGAATATACCAGATTGGCCAGTCAATGATTAAATACCCGTGCAGAATATACCAGATTGGCCAGTCAATGGTTAAATACCCGTGCAGAATATACCAGACTGGCCAGTCAATGATTAAATACCCGTGCAGAATATACCAAACTGGCCAGCCAATGGTTAAATACCCGTGCAGAATCTACCAGACTGGACAGTCAATGGTTAAATACCCGTGCAAAATATACCAGACTGGACAGTCAATGGTTAAATACACGTGCAGAATATACCAAACTGGACAGTCAATGGTTAATATCTGTGCAGAATATACCAGATTGGCCAGTCAATGGTTAAATACCCGTGCAGAATATACCAGACTGGCCAGTCAATGGTTAAATACCCGTGCAGAATATACCAGACTGGCCAACTGCATATATATATATATAAGAGCCAACAACTTTTTCTCATCTGAAGACGACGATGCTAATATTTATAGTAAGTAAGAAAGTAAACTGACTGTTATACTAACGAGAACCTATGTATGACTATAATTTAGCTTTCTCGTTTGAATTGTTTCACATTTTTAAATGTCTGGCCTTTTGTAGTCGACTATACGGTATAGGTTTTTCTCATTGTTGGAGGCCGTATGGTGGCCTATAAGTGCTTTATACTATTTCTTTAAACTCTGGTGGATAGTTGTCTAATTTGCAACCATGCCCCATCTCCTCATTTTTATATAAAACCAGGTTCAACCCATCTCTTTTACTCGAATAATGGCTTGCACTCAGTCGCTTAGTAAATGGTTCCAATGAGAATCGTTTGAAAAGATTGTTAAAAGTAATAAGTATACAAGGACATATATAATATGCCTTCAAGCTTAGTGAATATTTTCCCTATTATGACCGGCTCTCTCTCTCCCTCTTTCCTTTTTTCTTATGGCACATAAATGTTTGACACTCGGCTAACATAAGATAAAGGGCCATTTTCATAAACTGGCATGCAGGTATGCAGCGATACTCTATATCTATATATAGATTGGATTTCAGTTCGAATCTCGGATTAGATAATATATAGGGTCACTATATAGGCATGCAGGTATATCAAGTTTGTAGTTTACTATGCAGGCAAAAGTAAATACATTTGGTCTAATTTAAAAGTTTTGTTCTTGACTTTGATTCCCTTTAACATCAAAATGTAGTTTAGTGACACTGTATGATGTAGTTGCACTTACATGGTAGTTAGTGGAGCCGGATTTACGAAAACTTAAAGGACACAAGTTTTACCTATATAATGAGATTAGGATTATTTTAACGTGCATGTGAGTGTGTTTAAGTTAAAAAGTAAGCCCATGCAAAAGCAAGCCAGTTGTGCTTGACATGAAAAAGTAGAAATTTTGAAAATTCAGGAAGTCAAACTTTTTAAAAATCAAAGAGCCAATTTCTCCTGAATTTATATCACACCAGAGTCATTTTCAACAAGTTATTCAGTCTTAACTGTCAGTGTGTGTTAACGCTTCTTGTATATTCATTCAGGTTGTTATAATATAATGTCCCATTCATAAAAATAAAATTTTGGCAAAAAAATGCCTAAAACCTGCATTTTGAGAAAACTGAATGCGAACGACCAATTTTAATAATGAAAAAAAAAAACAAAAAAAAAAAACAAAGTAAATTATTGAACTGAAAATATTTTGTATTCTAAATTGTCGCAAAATGCTCGAGGTATGTTGTTCAAATTCTTAATTATTAAAAAGTCACGGACTGTCATTATTGGAACCCATGTCGTGTGAAGCAATTTCAGGGGGTTTAGCTCCACCTTTTTTCGAATGTAATTAAGTTAAAATTATGAGATTTTAAAACTAAATTTCCGAGATATTAAAATGGAAAATTCGGAGTTAATATCGATGTATATACATCAAGATTTGAAAATAAAAATTCCGAGTAAAGCCGATTTTTTTACGTTTGAGAATAAGTTTAAAGATAAATCGTTTTAGCTATGTCCCTAATATGCCCATTTTAACATAAACAACGTAATATAAAGTTTTCATAACTTTTCCTTTTATCTAAGTCTTACAGTTTGCCATAAACATTTCGTTTTTCGTTCATAACTGACAAGAAAATCCCTAAGGATTATTTTCTGTTTTCAAGCTATATTTCTACCAACATAAAAATGCATTGCGATAATTGTTGAATCTATGACTTTACGGAGATTTACGAACTTGTCAGAGGAAAACTCGCCATCGACTGTAGGTTTAAAAACCGAGTTTTCTCTGTCAGCTTTAGATTAATTTCCATTCGTTTGATGTGTTTGAGCTTTTGAGTTTGCCATTTGCTTAGGGACTTTCCGTTTAGAATTTTCCTCGGAGTTCGGTATTTTTGTTATTTTACTTTTTTCAAGTAAATGCATTTAAATAAAAAAACATAAGATTTTTGTTTGTTGATGTGTATGGTATATATGTATGTTTCAAGTAATGGGAATATTATGCAATACTTTAGTGCATTTTAATGCATGGCTCTGTTTCATATGCTATGTTATGGTAGTCAAAAAGACAAGATTCACTTTTGGCAAAATATGGCCTTGAATTTTAACCTCATAATAAAATATCAAAAAGGCAACAATCTGTTTCTTAAATGGGTCTATTTCAAAAGCCTCAATGCTAGGTAAAACAAATCTCTTCATAACAGTACATCATAAGCTTCAAACTCCAGCTCATTTTGGAGATTTTGATAATTTGGAACTAAAAGCTTAAGGAAAACCTTGGCCGCCATCTATAATCCAAAATGTTCTGCAACCAAAAGGTGCCATTCCCAAGGTTAATATTGAATCTGTGGACACAAAATTTTGTGGATCGGGGATGGCGACCAGATTAAATTATACTAAATACTGTTAAATTTGGAAAATTGGACATAATGTGAAAATTTGCAGTATTTTGGCCTGTTTTTTAAAACATTTAAAAAATCGTAGGGTTTAATTTTAGCCGTTTGTAAACATATTCCTTATAATGAATGATTTCAATGATGCATATTACCGCTATTAAATAAACTTTAAATTTCAGTATGTTTTCATTAAACATGTGAAGAGAGTCAAAACTCGTAATTTATAAATAAAATCGCATTTCTACCTATTTTTAAATAAATTCAAATTAAGTGATATTTTCTCGGACTTAATATTTTTTGTGGACATATATGAATAGTGGCTGCGCTTGAAACTCTTACATTAGCTTTTTGAAAAGTCTTTTGGACACTTGCAGGTAAAAACAGCTTCCTTCTTGGTCTTGCTCTATATATTTCTCAGACATTGATTAATTGAATCAAGCTTTAAATATATGCATTAAAAGACCTTGGACAAAACAAGACCTTGAACAAAACAAGACCTTGACCAAGGAAAGGAAGATACATAAAGAATTCACTGAATGTCCTCAAAACCTATTATCACTTCCAAAACACAAATTTGTAATTGCCTCATACATTACAATATAGTGTAATTAATACTTTTTCCCTTTTCAATTATCTTTCCACATAACTAAGAATATATCAAACCAATTATACAATGTAGTGATTAGATACATCGTATAAAACTGTCCACATCGATCTGTTATCCTGTCACCGAGGTTCGGGATCGATATTTCTTCGGAGTTGGCCTTCCGTAGTAGTTACATTATTTCTCAATCAGATCCTTCGGTTTCTTTTCTAACTACCATTTGTTAGTGTGATTTTTGTTATCATGACAGAACCGTCCACAGAAATGGCTGGCGAAGGAAAAGCCGCAGACGACAGTAGTGCACCAAAAGGGAAGCAAATGAGGACTATTGTTTTGACTGGATTTGGCGGAGTTAAAATGTTGAAAACTCAACAAAAAGCGGAACCAACACCTAATGAAGGAGAAGTGCTGATACGAGTCAAAGCATGGTAAACAAAATCTAACATCGATTTTCTATAGATTTATTTTGTTTTGATATGTTAATGCAATCTTCAACATATTGTGCTGTTTTATATCCTTTAACATTATTTTTGTGAAGCTTTAATAGGCTTATTCCTTTCATATAACTGAATTGATGACTTGATTTATTTTCTGGGCTAAATATTTACGCTTAACTTTTGAACCATATGGTAATTTTTAATTTACATTTACTATTTACAACTGAATATAACACAAATAGTATATTTGCAACAATACTAAAACAAAAACCGCCCAGAGGAAAAAATGTTCTCTTTTAAGCCAAATAGAATTAAGGAAAATACAAACTGTTTTAACCCTTCAAAAACGTTCATCATTACTTTTGAACCATATGGCATCCTTTAATTTACATTTACTATTTACAACTGAAGTTAAAACAAATAGTATATTTGCAACAATACTAACAAAAGCCGCCCAGAAGAAAAAAATCTCTTTTCAGCCAAATAAAATTGATAAAATATTTACGGTATAACCCTCCATAAAGATTTACCGAACTTCGACGGTCACAGTTAGGTAATTTGAAACAATACTTAACCGATGTTGTAATATTAAGGTATGTAGGTGGTTTGGGAACATATTATGTGGGTGAAATGTAAGAAAAAAATATTTTAAAATTTTATTGTCGCATTTATGCATATTTCATGTTATATGTTTGAAACTTTTATGTATTTGATATATCTAAACTGTCATTTGAATCATGCAAATATCAAGGCAGTGGCTTCTGAGTGGATGGTATCCCTGGAGGTTGATAGTCTATCAGCTGCAGTACCCACACAGTGATAACCTTTAATATAAGGCGAATAAATTTGAACTATTACTAGATGGCCGTCGCCATGCAAACATGTATGCTAAAATAAAACAAAAATGTCTATAACTCCACAAAAATTACACAATTATTCTTGTTTTTATCGGATGAATGGGTTGTAAGACGAATGAACCTTCGAACTAATGGATTATTAGACTGTTGATGGTGACTGTTTCGTCGGACTAATACGCGACAATTTTAACTTGAATTGGCGGAGTATAAGAAAGACACAACCACCCGAACAGTATGTCAGTGTTATCATAAGCTCAATGAATTATTTTTCATCTTATTAGTATTACTGTGACTACCAGATGTTTATTGGAAATGGCTGTTGACCTATATGCAAAACAAAGTCTGAAGTTGACAGATAAATCAGAAAGTAAACACTCAATGTTGAATTTTGATATCTTGATCAATATATGTAACAGCTTGGGTTGACACTTGGACAAATCAAACACGGATGGAAAATGAACAGGAATACTGCTTTAACCTGAATGAATGTATAAATTGATAAGGTTTAGCTTCGTTGTGTCAGCATCATCGTCGTCGTTGTCCTCCTCCTCCTCCTCATCACCATGAAGTTAGATACAATCCATGTAAACTGTTATCTATTTAACGCAGTACAGAATTCAGCCAATTGCTACTGATTTTTTTACAGTTTGTTCTTATTTTGTGTTGTTACACCACTGTCCTAGATTAGGGGAATGGTTGAGCTCTCACAAACATGTTTAACCCCACCACATTCTTCAAGCGCCTGTCCCAAGTCAGGAGCCTGTAGTTCTGTGATTGTCATTGGTTTATGTCTGTCGTATTTGTTTTTCGTATATTGTTTTGATTTGAATTAGTTCATCGGTTTTCTAGTTTGAATTGTTTCACATTTTTCATGTCAGGGCCTTTTATAGCTGACCAAACGGTATGGGGTTTTCTCATTGTTGAAGGCCGTACGATTGCTTATAATTGCTAACATCCTTTTCATGATCTTTCATATGAACTCTGGTGGGTTGTTGTCTCATTGGCCATCATACCACACCTCCTTATTTTCTTATATTTATCGGGTAAGGCAAAGACCAAACACATCTTTGGGTATATTTAGCCAAAAGGGACTCGATCAGAACAGACAAAATCGCCATTAGCCAACGAGTTGCAACCGTATATTATAACATATTTATAAACTACTTGAAAAATTTACATTCACGTTGTATCATTTAGATCATGCTAGTACCGACACACTGGCTGCTTGATGATGAAATTGAATTGCATGGATTTGCAAGTCGTAAATTTCTTTCTTTATATAAATAAAATCTAAGTGTTCTTGTTTTTTTTTCAGTGGACTTAATTTTTTTGATCTGATGGTTCGTCAAGGCATACTGGACAACCCACCCAAAACTCCTATAACGATGGGATTTGAGTGTTCAGGAGAGGTTGAGGCTGTCGGAGGAGATACAACAGGGTTTAAGGTACGTGCTTTAACTAACTACGTTTCCGTGCTTTAACTAACTACGATTCGAGGTTAATGAGTCAGAGGAGATACAACATGATTTAATTTACGTGCTTTAACTAACTACGATTCTAGATTTAGGCAGTCGTGGGAGATACAATAGGGTTTAAGTTACGTGCTTTAGATAACTACGTTTCGAGGTTGAGGCAGTCGTGTGATGAGATACAATAGGGTTTATTAGGTACGTGCTTTAGATAACTACGTTTCGAGGTTGAGGCAGTCGTGTGAGATACAATAGGGTTTAAGGTACGTGCTTTAAATAACTACGTTTCTAGGTTGAGGCAGTCGGAGGAGAACAGGGTTTAAGGTACGTGTTTCAACTAATTTTACGTGCCTATATGACTCTGGTAGACTAGTCCTTTGTATCTTGCCGACATCACAGAACAACTCCCCTCCTTTGAATTTTATTGACAAAGGCTAAGAAGACGTAATTAATTAATTTGTTTATTATGATTGGCCTTAATATACGTAAAATATGTCTAAAACTGTCTTGATATTATGAAAGCTGTCCTTATTTTCAAACTCAAATGGGCCAATGCAGAATGAAGTCTTTTTTGGCTAAGTCAGTGTTTATCATTTTACACCATGGCTATATGATATATATCATTAGATTAAGTATAAGAAGCCTAGATAAATAATAATAAATAAAATTTTAACGCCTTTTCTATTAAAAGTTAATAACTTCCAGGAAAAATACATCTGTTTAAAGGTATCCTTACTTTATTATTTGCCTAATATCTTAGTTATAGCTCTTTAGGCAGCTGAGCTTGCTTTCATCTTCGCCTCATGACAATACAGTGGAGATTGGACTTTAGCTTTAAAAACTGGTACACCATCACATAACAATACCGAATTATTACCGTATCCATTCCATTGGTTTACTACCAACAACGATAAAATAATGCATTAGTATCGATTTTTTCGATATTTTAGCACATGGATGTCATATCATTCTTTATGATCGACGTTGATGTTCACACATTGCATCATTGTTTGATTCAATTTTCGTGTTAGCCAAAGTGTAAAAGTCTAAAATCGTGCATTATACAGACAACACGTACTTTTAGAATACAGCTGAGTTCGGTGACAAAACTATGTTTTGTAAATATTCTAAAATGAAAATAACCAGCGAATTTAATGATCCAAGAAATAAACGCCAAAATTGCAATTGATTATAGACCACTTACGTCTGATACCAGACCAATCGTTTAAATTTCTTCATTCAACAATCGTTTCTGTTTTAAAAATTACTTAGATTCAACATTTTCCTTAAATTTACAGCAAGTCAACAACCAACCAGTCATTTTACTCAACATATCGGCACCAGATCCCGAATTTGAGGTTAAGGGACATACTAATTTTACCGAACGTACCGAATCGATTTTTTTTATGGTTTTCAGGTCAAAAATAGATATATAAATATTAAACCAGAAGCCACTTCAAAGGGTTGCAGTGGGTCGGGGATGGGCACACCCGCTGAGCACCATTGAATCCGCTCTTGAGTTATTTTTTTTTATATATAAATGGGCTCGTGTATTCCATTTTCATCAAAAACAAACAACAACAAAGTAATGTTAGATATTGCTATTGAAAATAAATTGACTTTTCCTATTCTATCTGGTATGAAAGCCCCAAGATTGGACTTTTATTTCCAGGTTTATGCGATTGTAGTCCTTTTTGTAAGTGCATTAGAAGATGGAATATATAGTTTAATCCTCTATCTGCCAATCGGAATGAATTTTCAGCCTCAGTCAATTAACAACAAAAAGCCATATCAAGTTATTTTAACTTGCCTATATTGGGTATTGGATATTGATATAAATAAGTTCGGAAGAAATGATCAATTTTGGTTAGCCTTAAACTTTAGTCCAATACAAAGGTGACATCATAAATATGATAAAGATCTCTGAAGAATAGATGTACCACAAATTGCAGTTAATTCGTATGCATAATGTATTTGATTTTTACTGAAAATGTGGAAGAATAGACACTTGTATGTGCAGCGTTGAAAATACAAGGTTATATAACATGCGTTTCGTGCAGTTTTAAAATCTAGTATTTTGGCGAGTTGAATAAAAAAAGAAAACATTTATCGATTTGACTGGTCCGAACACCTACACTATCCACTGTCAGAATCATTTATCAGCATTTGAAATGTTGTAATATTCTATTTACTGTTCGTGACACTACTCCTAGTAACTAAAAATCGTACAATGATTGATTATGTTTTTGCTAAAAACATCCATCGGTGATAGGTTCTTAAAACACACAGATGAATGAAAGTTTTAGAAAGGTTTGTGGTTGAAGATTTGGACCAGATCTAGCCATCAATCAATTTACTTCATACAAACTCTGTACATTCATCAAGATCTCCTTTTGAACATTTATCTGTGAAAGACAGAATGGCTATTTTAAGATCAAATTATGCGTTGTATTGATTTACTTGTAGTCATTTGACATATGTAGAAAGTTGATTTTGTGTTTTCCATAGCAAATCCCTGGACAAGAATAGCTTATTAAAGTGGAAAGAGAAAGGTTTACTTATGACTTCCCGATCCTTGAAGACATCAAAGAAAGGTTTACTTATGACTTCCCGATCCTTGAAGACATCGTGTCAGATGGAGAATCGACTGTCTGTTAGATAAAATAAAAAGGAAATGGAAATTAATTTAAAGACTTTTAGGAGAAACATGGTCCTATGAAACAAAATTATAAAATAGACCTTTCTTTTTTTTTAAATTTTCTGAAGAGTTTGGAGTAGTAGTTATTACTTTGTTACAAAGGAGCCGGTATTTACTTTCCGTAGCATGTACCATGTACTAAAGAATAATTAACAGGACATGACATAAAAGAACCTTTCTTTTAAATATGAATAGTAATAATGTTTTAAACAACGAATTCTTCTTTGTGAAAGGTGCTTTGTCTGATTTTTATTTTGTTCTACTTTGACAGAGTTTGTTCTCATTTTGACACAGCAGGTGTGCTCTACCGTGGCATTAAACAGCCACCGTTCGCTACAGTGGCATTAAATAGCCACCAGTCCATCAATCATAAAAAAGCGAGGTGAGATAGAGCAATTAAAACGAGCGAAAGCTGGCGTACAAATTCTCTTGATAGGTTATTTATGTTTATCGGTTTCACCATAGTCCCCATACCCCATACCCCTTACCCCTTTCCCACCAACTCTATAATATATAAACTTCTTGGGTGTACATGAGGTGCATACAATCTAAGTTTGTTATTGTAAATGTAGAAACAAATAATATCCATGATCGAGAGCAAACAATTAACCTAATAGGAAGATTCTTTAAAGTGGGTCGTACAGGATGAAAGTTTTTTAAACATATGTTTGATAGGGGCAGAAATATGCCTTGCATAAGGCCACCTCAAATGGTTGTTGCAAGAGTTCTTGAGCGTTGATAGAACGTGATTTATCTCCCTACATGGGCATTGGAGTTTGACCGGTCGTGACTGTGTATTTATATATCCTGCACAGTCATTCCACTTCTTGCCGAATATTTCCTTGATATACAAAAAGTCAGTCTTCTAACGTTTCATAAAATCTAGAATCTTGGTTTATTTGAGCATTAATACAAATAAGAACAATATTTGCGATGCTAAAATGTTCTCCTCATCATGTAAGCTCTGTGATAACAGCTGCGAAAGGGGGAAAATGCGCATCATTGAAAAAAAAACCAAAATATATCTATTCTCATCGTGATTTTAAATTTTTGATGTAAATATATATTTTTAGAATATAATCGTAGTCGTTGATAAAGTAATGACTTAAACTTTCTATAACCTATTTTATGACGAATACACATATTGATAGTTAAGTCGAATTCGGATAATGGATAGACTTACAATCACCTGAGGTCAATGGTAGTTCACACTCAATATTGCAATGATAAACTAAGAGAAGAATATACAATACTCAAGTAGTCGAAGTGCCCTTGTAGATGATCGACTTTAACAAAGAAATAAATGGCAGATTACTTTAACTATCATCGCCAACATAGATTTATCGATCATTTTCTTATTTCAGTAAATATATCTACATAGGAAAAAACAATGTATTAGTTACTTTTCAGTTAAAACTGCACCGGAATAAATTCCCAACATGGTAAAACCCAAATAGTCGATTACCTTTAAAATAAGTTTTGATTTTCTCTCAAGAAATTATTGATAACTACTTCAGCATTCGAGATAAAACAGGACTTAATTAGTGTTGTCTAAATCGACCTTTCGAACGCCCACGACATTGTACATTTTAACATTGCAATTGAAACAGCTTACAATGTAAATTTTTCTATTAACTGAGAAATCGTTATAGCTATCAGTTGATTAAATAATGATTTTGCACGAATTATTTCTCTCAGAGGAATCAGCATGATCAGTGTGTTGTCCTTTTAATGCTGTCTTAGGTATTCCCATTACGTAATGACTGTTTAAAAGTACACGAGAAGTGCCGTTTTTAGACACAACCACTCAATTTTTGATGCTTAAAACCTGGTTCGTTAGTATGTGCTTGCAGGTTTTTGTAAAAGTTATTAACCATGGCTGCGATTTAATATTCTTACGGTTATTTCACTTTTATTTGTCCCCAAGCGTGTGTTAGGTGCAAACGACGAAACAGCAATACAGCCGGCATTGTTATCGATGTGTATGGACATCTTTATTATTAAAATGGAAACAAAATTACGTATTACTCAGGAATTATTTCTAATAGGATGATCTGTATCCAGGACTTGATAGAAATAAAGGTTCTGTTTGCAGTCAGATGGGAAGCAGCCACCGACATTGCTACCCATATGACTTATGCAAATGGCAAGCAGTTTTTATATTTTTTTTCGTTTTAAAGATATTTTATAGATTAATAAGATATCTTATCAACTAAATAAGATATCTCATTAAACAGTTTACAAAGATATTGTATTCAGTATATAAATAACACATAGCTGAGAGGGTGATAGAGCAGATTGTTACCTCGAGAAAACATTGTCAACTGAGGTGAAGCCAAGGTTGACAATGTTTTTTCGAGGGGTACCAATTTTAAATATCTTATATAGTTAAAATATATCTTGTTTATTTTAAGATATCTTATAAACTATATCAGAAATCTTAATTTAAAAGATATCGTTTTAACTTAATAAAATATATAATAAACCACATAAGATATCTCATTAAGTAATTGAGATATTTTATAAATTAAAAAAAGAAATATCTTATAAGGTATGAGATACAACAATGTATCTTATTTAATTTAAAGTTCATAAGATATCTTATAAACTAATTTACATATCTTATTAGTGTTATAAGATATCTTAAAATTGAATAAGTTATAAAAACGGCTTGCCATATACGTAGAATATTTATGCCGAAATCTCCCTAGTGTATCATATATTATGAAATGCAATTATTTGTTTTTATGCCCCACTTAGGGCCATTATGTTTTTCGGTCTGTTCGTCCGTTCGTTCGTCCGTCCGTCTGTCCCGCTTCAGGTTAAAGTTTTTGGTCAAGGTAGTTTTTGATGAAGTTGAAGTCCAATCAACTTGAAACTTAGTACACATGTTCCCTATGATATGATCCTTCTAATTTTACTGCCAAATTAGAGTTTTGACCCCAATTTATGGTCCAATTGATAGTGCGAGTGGGGCATCCGTGTACTATGGACACATTCTTAATATTCATGTGATAATTACATGCGACACTAATTAAGTAGACTGAATTCTGGTGTGAACACTGCAACATTCTTCTAACGTATAATATAATTACCGATTTAATCCTAAAGCAGTTGTAGAGAGTCAATGGGGACCCCCTCCTTTGATACAAGCATGTATCCCTGTCTGTCTTATATTTGTAAGTCTTTTGTATATTTATTATTTCCTACTTTCCAGAATAATTATATGTTTTATTTCCAGGTTGGAGATAGGGTTATTGGTTTTTGTGATTACAATGCTTGGGCAGAGGCTGTTGTACTCCCGGCTCAGTTGGTGTATAAAATGCCGGACAATATGAGCTTCCAAGACGGTGCTGCATTAGCAATGAACTACTTAACTGCTTATATAATGTTGTTTGATATGGCCAACCTGAGGAAAGGACAATCTGTGTTTGTTCATTCTGTTGGTGGCGGCGTGGTAAGTTGTTTACAATGTATTTTAGAGTCTGTGTTATTTTACCACTTCACTCTAGCTATTGTACTTGTAAGGTTTTCACTGTTTACCCCGGTAGTTCAATAAATTCATTTTGAGGCATATTTTAATACATATTGTGTCAGATATTTTCGCTTTATACATGACAAGACCATAGGAAGATGTTTTTATTACCAATGTCCATCATTAGTTTCTAAGAGTCGTTACCATCCAATCGTTGACAAAAAGAAATCCGAATTAAATAGAAAAGATTTTTAAAAAAACACTAGTTTTAAAAATCCCAGCCAAATATTGAATAGCTGTGCCAGTTTCAAGACAGAGTCTTTGTCATTGGTTGTCTTCTGTTATATCTGAATGTTGTCGGCGTGTAGAGAAGGACCTTGGTGGATTTCTGCTCTGCTGATTCTTTTAACAACTTTTCTAGATTGTTGAAGACTGTATTTGTGATGTCTTTTGATTTTGTTTGTGTTGTTGGATTACTTCTATACTGACGTTTACCCCACATTATTTCATATCCCACATCTCCTTTTATTTCATACCCTTCATCTTCTGTTATTCATACCCCACATCTCCTTTTTTCCTACCCCACATCTTCTGTTATTCATACCCCACATCTCCTTTTTCCCTACCCCTCATCTTCTGTTATTCATACCCCACATCTCCTTTTTTCCTACCCTCATCTTCTGTTATTCATACCCCACATCTCCTGTTATTCATACCCCTCATCTCCTGTTATTCATACCCCTCATCTCCTGTTATTCATACTCCACATCTCCTTATTTCCTACCCCTCATCTTCTATTATTCATACTCCACATCTCCTTATTTCCTACCCCTCATCTTCTGTTATTCATACCCCACATCTCCTTTTATTTACACCCCTCATCTCCTGTTATTCATACCCCACATCTCCTAGCGTCTATTCATAATGCCATACCTTTTAAGGCCTCAATCAATATCCATCAGGTTTCAGACACTAATCTCTTTAAATGGCTTTGTAATGTCTATTCATACGTACCATAAAAGTTCTTTTATAATGTCATTATTTGAAAATATATATTTTCCTCATTTACATTATACGATTTGATATACAATCAATACAGTTCCTACTCTTCTAGAGATTACAGAATAACTATTTTGACAGGAAATCACGAAAAACGTCTCCTGATAACTATAAAGTTCCATTCGTATTAATGACAACATAAAGTTTTTAATATTATAACGCAGAGCTTTGGCTCCTGTGAAGAATATTTGTTGCACATTTGTTGCACATGTCAGACTATTTTCCTTTATGTACTTGTACCTGGGCCTATTACACCAATATCATATTAGTCTTTGAATGTAGTTATTTCACTGTTACTATCGTAGTCCGCTCGGACAAGTCAGCAAAATGAAAATGTGGCTGATCCCTTCTATATAGCGGTTGTTATTGTTCACAACTTAGTTAGTGTTATTTTTTTTTGTTTCGCAGAATTTAAGTTGGTTAGTAGTCTCTTTATTTCATTCTGAACTTATTTTCTCATCAAATTTTGTTAACGCTTGTCCATCATTCAAGAAAACGTAAGGGTCTTGATGGGAGATCTTCATTTATGTATGTGAATGTGTGTCCATTATTCTGTAAACCCCATCCAGACCCTCATATACTAGTATGTTTATCTTTTCGTGTCCACTATTCTTCTGTTCGAAAATCCTGATATTTAATTTTTAATGGGGCGATGCAACGCAAATTTAAATTAGGGTTATCATTGCATCTTGTAGGATTGTTGGACGTGTTGAAATAACTGTAGGATGTGTTTAAATTACCATAGGGAGTGTTGAAATAACTGTAGAACGTGTTAAATAAAGTTTAATCACCATTACCATGGTTATCATTATTGTTTGCAGGGACAAGCTATAGGCCAACTCTGTAAGACGGTGGAGAACGTGACGGTATATGGCACAGCTTCTTACTACAAACATGAGTTTGTAAAGGAGAGTGTGGACCATTTATTTGATAGAGTAGTAGATTATTCACAGGAAGTTAGAAAGTAAGAACATAACGATTATAACAAAGATATATACAAAGTATGAATAAACCTCTCACACTGGAATACCATTATCAAGTTATCTGTAGTCTTATTTAGATTATCCGAAGGAATGCAGAAAAGAGTACTCTGCTCATTATTTACATTTATTACATTAGATACATCACAAGTTTTACATTACCATTATAATACGAAATTAAATTACAATTCTTTGCTAAACAATCCACAGACTATTGAACCCTTATCAATACATGTTTTACGCATTAATAATTCTTTTGTTTATAGTACAACATTTATGTATCATATTATTGTAGTACACTCAGGGGTAATTGATAATTGTTATCTCACTCATTCAGGGATAATTGATAATTGTTACCTCACTCATTCAGGGGTTAATGGTAATTGTTATCTCATTCGTTTAGGTGTTAATGGTAATTGTTATCTTACTCATTCAGGGGTTAATGGTAATTGTTTATCTCACTCATTCAGGGGTTAATGGTAATTGTTTATCTCACTCATTCAGGGGTTAATGGTAATTATTTATCTCACTCATTCAGGGGTTAATGGTAATTGTTTATCTCACTCATTCAGAGGTTAATGGTAATTGTTTATCTCACTCATTCAGGGGTTAATGGTAATTATTTATCTCACTCATTCAGGGGTTAATGGTAATTATTTATCTCACTCATTCAGGGGTTAATGGTAATTGTTTATCTCACTCATTCAGGTGTTAATGGTAATTATTTATCTCACTCATTCAGGGGTTAATGGTAATTATTTATCTCACTCATTCAGGGGTTAATGGTAATTATTTATCTCACTCATTCAGGTGTTAATGGTAATTATTTATCTCACTCATTCAGGGGTTAATGGTAATTATTTATCTCATTCTTTCAGGGGTTAATGGTAATTGTTATCTTATTCATTCAGGGGTTAATGGTTATAGTTATCTAACTTGTTCAAGGAATAATGATTATTGTTATCTCACCCATTCAGGGATTAATGGTAATTGTTATCTCATCCATTCTGGGGTTAATGATAAGTGTTATCTCACTAATTTAGGGGTTAAAGATAAATGTTATCTCACTCATTCACGGATAGATGGTTATTGTTATCTCACTCATTCTTAGGTTAATGATAATTGTTATCTCACTCATTCAGGAATTAATGATTATTGTTATCTCACTCATTCAGGGGTTAATGGTTATTGTTATCTCACTCATTCAGGGGTTAATGGTAATTGTTATCTCACTCATTTAGGGGTTAATAGAAATTGTTATCTCATTCGTTTAGGTGTTAATGGTAATTGTTATCTTACTCATTCAGGGGTTAATGGTAATTGTTATCTCACTCGTTCAGGGGTTAATGATAATTGTTTTCTCACTCATTCAGGGATTAATGGTTATTGTTATCTCACTCATTCAGAGGATAATGATAATTATTATCTCATTCGTTCAGGGGTTTATGGTAATTGTTATCTCACTCATTCAGGGGCTAAAGGTTATTGTTATCTCACTCGTTCAGGGGTTAATAGTAATTGTTATCTCATTCATTAAGGGGTTAATGGTAATTGTCATCTCACTATCAGGGATTAATGGTGGTTGTTATCTCACTCATTTGGGGATTAATGGTAATTGTTATCTCACTCATTCAAGGATTAAGGATTATTATTTTCACTCTAATTTGCATTTTAATGGTAATTTTTATCTCACTCATTACCGTCTATGTCAATTATTTATGATGCATTTTGTATTTTTAGTCATGTTAACTTTAATTTCTTTTATTTTATTTGATATGTTTCATTAGTTCATTTTACACATTCAAATTTGTTGTTAACTTACTTTTTATCTATTCAAATAACATCTTGTTTGGTTTGTTATCAACTTTCAGTTTATGTCTTGTTTTTCCCTGTTTGTTCTATCCGTTAATTGCTATCTATTTGAAACTTTTATTTGCATAATTATCCTTTTCATCCCTCTCTTTTTTCAAAACTTTTATACCATGAGCAGTGTGTTATTTTAATTTTTGTTTATTTCTGAATGATAATAATTTTTTTCTAAATGTGACACGAAGTAAAGCTCTTACCCAAAGATAACCGTCAATTTTATTTTATTTGTGAACAAACAAGACATAAAATGACTGTTGACAGTGATAACAAACAAGACCCAAACTGACTGTTAATATTGATAACAAACAAGACACATATTGTAGGGTAATAGTGATAACAAACAAGACACAAACTGACTGTGAAAATGAATAACAGCCAAGACACAAATTGACTGTAGACAGTGATAACAAACAAGACCCAAACTGACTTAACAGGGATAACAAACAAGACACAAACGGACTGTGAACAGGGATAACAAACAAGACACAAACTGACCGGTAATAGTGATAAAAATCAAGACACAAACTGAGTGTAAACAGGGATAACAAACTGATTGTTAATAGTGATTACAAACAAGACACACATTTATGTTTAAAGCAAGTTAAAAAATCAATTTGGTATAATTTTTTTTAAATAAAAAAAAGCATATTACGTACATATCAAATAGTATGTCAAAATTGTCCCCACTCCCTATGAGTTGCGGTGGCATCCTTAGGGATAACCAAACACATGTCTAAATTGAGTTGTGACTATCATTAATGATTTTGTTTTTCAGACTATCCCCAGAGGGTGTGGATATCGTTTTAGATTGTTTATGTGGAGACGATACAAATAAAGGTGTTTCACTGCTTAAACCAATGGGAAAATATGTCCTTTATGGTAAGAACTAAAAATTTGTATACACAGTCAATTATTAAATCTAGCGACGAATAAAAATGTATTGTACACAAAATACCAAATGTGTATTCATGTAATGGAGCAAATATTTTAAAAACATTTATACAAGTACTTTTAGGAAAACCGTGATATTTCATTGGAGACTCAACAAATTTCATTTACAGAATTTCATTTATCGACCTAATGAAGTATATCGACCTCGGATTTCCTCCTCAGTCAATATACTTCTTTCAGGTCGATATATCCTCGTATCGACCTCATACAAAGACTATAATTGTATAGTATCATTCGACCAAACTGGTATAAACTGATAAAATATCATAAAAATAAAGTATAGTCTTTATCTGACCTGCTGGAGTTTTGGTCTGACCTGCTGTATAGTCTTTATCTGACCTGCTGGAGTTTTGATTTGACCTGCTGTATAGTCTTGATTTGACCTGTTGGAGGTTTGGTCTGACCTGCTGTATATGATCTGACCTGTTGGAGGTTTGGTCTGACCTGCTGTATAGTCTTGATCTGACCTGCTGTATAGTCTTTATCTGACCTGATGTATAGTCTTGATCTGACCTGCTGTAAAGTCTTTATCTGACCTGCTGTATAGTCTTGATTTGACCTGCTGTAAAGTCTTTATCTGACCTGCTGGAGTCTTGATCTGACCTGCTGTATAGTCTTGATCTGACCTGCTGTATAGTCTTTATCTGACCTGCTGTATAGTCTTGATCTGACCTGATGTATAGTCTTGATCTGACCTGCTGTAAAGTCTTTATCTGACCTGCTGGAGTCTTGATCTGACCTGATGTATAGTCTTGATCTGACCTGCTGTATAGTCTTGATTTGACCTGCTGTATAGTCTTTATCTGACCTGCTGGAGTTTTGATCTGACCTGCTGTATAGTCTTGATTTGACCTGCTGGAGTTTTGGTCTGACCTGCTGTATAGTCTTTATCTGACCTGCTGGAGTTTTGATCTGACCTGCTGTAAAGTCTTTATCTGACCTGCTGGAGTTTTGGTCTGACCTGCTGTATAGTCTTTATCTGACCTGCTGGAGTTTTGGTCTGACCTGCTGTATAGTCTTTATCTGACCTGCTGGAGTTTTGGTCTGACCTGCTGTATAGTCTTTATCTGACCTGCTGGAGTTTTGATCTGACCTGCTGTATAGTCTTGATTTGACCTGCTGTATAGTCTTTATCTGACCTGATGGAGTCTTGATCTGACCTGCTGTATAGTCTTTATCTGACCTGCTGGAGTTTTGATCTGACCTGCTGTATAGTCTTGATCTGACCTGCTGTATAGTCTTGATCTGACCTGCTGTAAAGTCTTTATCTGACCTGCTGGAGTCTTGATCTGACCTGATGTATAGTCTTGATCTGACCTGCTGTATAGTCTTGATTTGACCTGCTGTAAAGTCTTTATCTGACCTGCTGGAGTCTTGATCTGACCTGATGTATAGTCTTGATCTGACCTGCTGTATAGTCTTGATTTGACCTGCTGTAAAGTCTTTATCTGACCTGCTGGAGTCTTGGTCTGACCTGCTGTATAGTCTTGATTTGACCTGCTGTATAGTCTTTATCTGACCTGCTGGAGTTTTGGTCTGACCTGCTGTATAGTCTTTATCTGACCTGCTGGAGTTTTGGTCTGACCTGCTGTATAGTCTTTATCTGACCTGCTGGAGTTTTGGTCTGACCTGCTGTATAGTCTTGATCTGACCTGCTAGAGTTTTGGTCTGACCTGCTGTATAGTCTTGGTCTGACCTGCTGTATAGTCTTGATCTGACCTGCTGTATAGTCTTTATCTGACCTGCTGTATAGTCTTGATTTGACCTGCTGTATAGTCTTGATTTGACCTGTTGGAGGTTTGGTCTGACCTGCTGTATAGTCTTGATCTGACCTGCTGTATAGTCTTGATCTGACCTGCTGTATAGTCTTTATCTGACCTGCTGGAGTTTTGGTCTGACCTGGTGTAGTCTTGATCTGATCTGCTGGAGTCTTGATCTGACCTGGTGTATAGTCTTGATCTGACCTGGTGTATAGTCTTGATCTGACCTGGTGTATAGTCTTGATCTGACCTGCTGTATAGTCTTTATCTGACCTGCTGGAGTTTTGGTCTGACCTGCTGTATAGTCTTGATCTGATCTGCTGAAGTCTTGGTCTGACCTGCTGTATAGTCTTGATCTGACCTGCTGTATAGTCTTGATCTGACCTGCTGTAGGGTCTTGATCTGACCTGTTGGAGGTTTGGTCTGACCTGCTGTATAGTTTTGGTCTGATCTGCTGTAGTCTTGATCTGATCTGCTTGAGTCTTGATCTGACCTGCTGTAAAGTCTTGATCTGACCTGCTGTATAGTCTTTGTCTGACCTGCTTTATACCTTTATACATTTATACCTTTATCTTCGGGTCCTTAAAATAAGCCAAAGTCTTCTACTGACCCCTCATCTTGGATTGTCGTAATGCAATTTCTCCTCTCATTATAAACGCATAATAATATATTTATATATATTATACTTATAAAAATAGAACTTATTTAGGTGTGCGCAGCTTAACAATTAACATGAACATATAAATTTATATGGGTTCCAATTCTCGCCATTTAACGCTGACTTAAATTCATTCAAAGTCTTTGCCGTCACTGTAAAATCTGACAGGTTATTCCACGGATCCACTACTCTAATTGAAAAAGTATTTAGTCTATGTGTCGTCTTACACTGTTTCTTAAAGAGTTTTAATGAGTGACCTCTAGTATTATTAGATGGTGCTAAAGTAAATAAGCTCATCCAGTTTATATCATCTATACCATGCAACGCTTTATAGACTTGTATCATATCATTTCTATCCCTACGATATTCCAAGGTTGGCAATCCCAATGAGCGTAATCTATCTTCATAACTTAAATGATTTATATTCTTTACGAGTTTAGTGGCCCTTCTTTGGACAGATTCCAATTTACGAATATCTTTTTTAAGATGCGGAGACCAAACACATGTAGCATATGCCAACAGTGGACGAACAATTGACTTAAAAAGAGTAAGAAACATATCCTGATCCATGTAGTCAAAGGAATGATGAATAAGCGATAAAACTCTCTGTGCTTTATTAACAATAGTACTAATATGTTTTTCAAACTTTAAATTTGACTCGAAAGTTACTCCAAGATCCTTTTCTTCATTCACCTTAGATAACGCAATAAAATTTTCTGTATCATCCAACATGGTATAACGATATTGTTGATCATTGTCAGGATTAATATGTAATACTTTACATTTAGCAGCATTAAATTTCAATTTCCACGTATTTGACCATTCACATAAACTGTCCAAATTTTCCTGTAACTTACAGCGCTCATTATCTGACGAGACTTAAGAATATACTTTACAATCATCGGCAAAAATTTTCACTATGCCCTCTACTACATCAGGAAGGTCATTTATAAATGTTAAAAAAAGAACTGGTCCTAGAACACTCCCCTGAGGTATACCACTCACAACATCTGACCATGCTGAAGTTGTATTATTTATACGAACACATTGCTTACGCCTGGATAGAAAACTTTTTATCCAATCCAAAATGCATCCCTTTATTCCAAGTTTTTCAAGTTTCAAAAATAAGCGCTGATGAGGCACGGTATCAAATGACATGGAAAAATCAAGGTAAATTGAGTCCAGTGGAAAACCATTATCAATTAATTCTGACCACTCATCCAAAACCTCCAGGAGTTGAGTAACACATGATCTACCTGGTCGGAAGCCATATTGACTACTTGTAAAAAGATTGTTCATGAGAATATACTTCATAATATTGTCTCTAATAATGGATTCACACCAGGTGATACTACGGATGTTAAACTAACAGGTCTGTAATTACCAGGGCTCAGCTTCTTCCCTTTCTTTAATATTGGTGACACTATGGCGTTTTTCCAATCATCTGGAACTTTACCCTCTTTGATAGACTTATCAAAAATTTTAAACAAGGGATAACAAATTGCATGTCTTACTTCATATAAAACTTTCGGATGTAGACCATCAGGTCCTGCAGATTTATCTGTCTTTAATTTATTAAGTTTCTTTAGCACATCTTCCTGACAAATATTAATATCATCCAAAAAATTGTTTGACTCTGAATTAGTATCATAATCTTTCAAGTCATCTGTATGAGTAAACACACTAGTAAAAAACTGATTTAAAACTTCAACTTTACCAGCAGTACTGGATGCTAAAGTACCATCCGGTTTCTCAAGAGTGCCTATTCCTGATCTAGTCTTGAGTTTACTGTTAACATAATTCCAAAACGACTTAACATTAATCTTTGATTCTAAGGCCACTTTTTGCTCAAAACTAAGTTTAGCATTTCTAACAGCATTTGTACATTCGTTACGATCCTTCACATATTTTGCATATGACAAGTTACTTCTTGAATATTCATATTTTTTCCATGATTTACGTTTCTTGACAATTGCAGATTTAGTAGCTCTATGCATCCACAACGGTGGGCTTATAAATTTACGGTCAGTCTTTTTCTTAGGAATAAATCTATCAATATTTTCTGACATAACAGAAGAGAAACTTATCCACATTTCATCAACGTTTTATTACTTAGCAAAACATCCCAGTCAATGTTGTTTAGACTCTCATTAAAAAGCTCATAATTTCTCTAAAATATGAAAAACGATCGCCAGAAGTTTTCTCATTATTCAAATAACAACAAAAATCAAAATTTATCATGCAATGGTCACTCTTCCCCACTGGTGAATCAGTTTGTATTGAGTCTTTGGCTATCATATTTTCTTCATTTGTAAAAACCAGGTCAAGTAAATTAGCATTTTGACCAGTACGAAAACGTGTTGGTGTACATATATGTTGAAAGAGAAAATTGTTCTGCATACACTCATAAAATTTAAAAGGATCTGTGTTAATACCACTTGATACTTCATTATCAACCCACTTGATCTCAGGAGAATTAAAGTCTCCCATAATTAAATAATGGCTATACT